GTGAATGGGGGAATGAGGAGTAACTGCTTAATGGATACAGGGTTTCCTTTGGGCTGATATTTTGGAAGTAGGTACAAGTGGAGGTTGCACAGCATAATGGATGTACTAGAGGTCCCTGAGCTATTCCCTGTAAAATGATTCGTTTTATGTAATGTGAATTCCGCCTCAGTACCAAATCCATTAAAAAAGGAACCAGCATGCTCTCCTTGGCGCACATCTGCATCCCTCCTTTTCTTGGGCCTGCACTTTTGCTCTCTTTCTCCTAAACTCTAAAAGCCCCTATGAGACTTGCAACCAGGGGAGCCATGAGCAGCTGCAGCTCATCTTAGGCCAGTGGTCAGCAATGTGGCTCTTTGGCCCCTTGAGTGTGGCTCTTCCACAAAATACCACGGCCTGGGCGAGTCTGTTTTGAAGAAGCGTCATTAGAAGAAGTTTAAGTTTAAAAAATTGAACTCTCGAGAGGATCCAAGATGGCTGCTCAGGTAGACACCTAACCGCAGCAGCACACAACAATTTCAATGGAATACAACTAAAACGTAGAGTGGACATTGCCCAGAGCTACCGATAGTCGACTGACTGAAAATTCTACAACAAGAAGGAAAGAGAAAACCAGAAGGAAAATCAGAGGAGCTGAAAAATCCTAAGGTACGGAGACATGCTGCGCGCACAGAGAGGAGGAGAAGGACACAGCCAGAGAGGAGAAGGCCAGGTGCCTGCCTGGCGTTCCCTAGCAGGAAGGAAATAAAAAGCCCGGCCTGGGCTGAACCCCAGAACCGGCAGCGCTGAGCCCCAGTTATGGGCCAGACCCTGGGGACCCAGGCTCGGGCAGGACGAGACGGAGCTGTGAGGCGGAATCTCAGGGGAGCAGCGATAAGCAGAGCCTTCGGAATCACGCACATTGCACGCAGAGGACGGAATGTTGACTCTGATGCTGGATTGCCCTGACGGGAAGAAACAAAACCTCTGGCAGTGCTGAGCCCCACTCCCGACTGCTCTGAACCCCAGTTCTAGGCCAATACCTGGGGACCCAGGCTCAAGCAGAGGGAGATGGGACTGTGAGGTGGAGTCCTGGGAGAGCGGCGAAAGGCCGAGCCCCCGGAGCCACGCACATTGCACGCAAGGGAAGGAATGTTGACTCTGATGCGGGATTGCCCTGGAGGGAAGGAAACAGGAGCTCTGGCTGTGCTGGGCACCAGTTTCGACAGCTCTGAACCCCAGTTTTAGGCCAGACCCTGGGGACCCAGGCACAGGCAGGGGGAGACGGGGCTGTGAGGCGGAATCCCAGGGGAGCGGCGAAAAGCAGAGCCCTCGGAGTCGCGCACATTGCGTGCAGAGGACGGAATGTTGACTCTGAAGCTAGACGCCCCTAGCGAGAAGGAGAAAAAAAGCTCCAGACTGGAGGAACACGACGAGGAGCAGGAGCCCCTGCCGGACACCGGCCAGCCAGGCGCCAGCAAGGAGCCGGGTGACGGGGTTCCCAGGGGGGGTGCCCCTGGGCCTTCGACCACTGAGCCTGGGCCATGGAGCCGAGGCCAGGGGCTGCTTCCTGGGCGGTGCCGACCCCTGCAACAGGCTAAAGCAGCACAGGAGCCCGCGGAGAACAAAGGGGTGCCACAGGCCAACCTGCTGAGCTTCCAGGACAAGGAGGAAGAAACCGAAGAAGTTTTCAATGTGAAGAAATCAAGTGAGAGCAAAAGATAGTAAAATTACTTAAGAAAGAATACAAAGAAGATCTTGAAAAATCGAAGACTAAGTCAGAACTCAACTCAGCCGCCAACATTGCAACATAAATGCATTTTAAAAAAAAGGACAGAATGTTGGAACGGCGGCGGCCAGGCCTAGAGTGGCCAGGTACAAGGCAGTAGCTGCCAAGCCTGGAGCAGCAACAGCCAGGCCCCAGAGCAGCAGCAGTCAGAACCAGAGCAGCAACAGCCAGGCCTGGAGCAGCCAGACCTGGGGCACTGGCAGCCAGGCCTGAGGCAGAGGCGGCCAAGCCCAGGGTGGCCAGTCCAGGAACACCCAAGCCCAGAGTGGCCGGGCCCGGAGCAGCCGGGCCCAGAGCAGCCAGATCGGGTGCGGCCAGGCCCGGAGCAGCAGCAGCCACGCCCGGAGCAGCCAGGTGGGGAGCGGCAGTGGTCAGACCCGGAGCAGCTGCTTGTGGAACGGACCAGAGCAACAGAGGCCAGGCCCGGAGCAGCCAGGCCTGGAACAGCTCGCTCCTCGCCTTCCTCAGCCCCAAGGCTGCCTCTCGGACATGGCTGGAAACTTTTGGGGGAACTTGAGGGTCTGCTGAATCAAATGAGGAAGGCTTAGATCTAGATGTGTTAATTCAGTATAGCGCTGGGGAGTTGATCTGTGAGTGCCTTGTGTGGGGCCTGGATGAGGTTGGTTGATCTATTTGGAAATGTCTTCTATGTGAAGTGTATCCTTGGGCATATGGAGGTATTATTGATTTGAGAAAATGCTAAGTAACTGATTTACTATCTGAAAAATTTAAAGTTCTGAAAGTTTAAGGTCTCTTGCCAAAAAGAGGTTTTAAAGCGAACACCTTAATTTTAAAGGGAATGACAAGCCCTTCCCACCCAGAACAGGTAATCCAATTCCAACCAGCAGCTATGTTTAAACAATGTGTCCATTTATGGGAGGGGAGTGGACTGGCTGTTCTCGGGGAAAGGGAGGGAGGAAGAGACTGAACATAAACTGTGCACCTATGGATGAGGACAATGGGGGGTGGGGAGGGTGGGGGGGGTGGGGTGGGAACCTGGTGGAAGGGGGAAGAAATGAGGAACCTTTGTAATAATATGAACAATAAAGATTGATTAAAAAAATAAATAAATAAATAAAAAATTGGACTCTCAAAAGAAATTTCTGTTGATCTTTGTACTGTTGATATTTGGCTCTGTTGACTGAGTTTGCTGACCATTGTCCTAGGCTAACCCCACTGAACCTGTCCCTAAAGCCACCTTTTCTCTGGCTTTTCAGTGAGCTAAAAGCAGTCGCATCTTGGCCCACTTGTTCTCAAGTAAAAGTGACTTTTACTTCTCAGGCTTCTTTCCTGTGACATTTCCTGAGGGCCCAACCAGCACTGCCTGACTCCTTCTAAGTCCTTCCTTTGTTTCAGTGTCCAGCTTTATAAAGGTACTCTCAACATAAAAAAAGGAAAAGGAATCATCCCTTCTCCACAATTACTTCGAAATGTTCAAGCAGAGTCTGAATGATAGAAAAACTAGTGAAACAAACAATTGTTCATAAACTGTGACATTACATAGTGGTATTACTTCCCTAAATTCAAGTGCAGGAAGGCGCTGACTAGTATTTAAAGAATAATTGTCATGCCGAAACCGGTTTGGCTCAGTGGTAGAGCGTTGGTCTGTCTGCGGACTGAAAGTTCCCAGGTTCGATTCCGGTCAAGGGCATGTACATTGGTTGCGGGCACAACCCCGGCAGGGGGTGTGCAAGAGGCAGCTGGTTGATGTTTCTCTCTCATCAACATTTCTAGCGCTCTCTCTCTCTCTCCCTTCCTCTCTGTAAAAAATCAATAAAAAAAAAAAAGAGTAATTGTCACTGCCAACCTCTCCCAGCTCTATATTTATATTAAAAATGTCAGCCTTGGCTGGATAGCTCAGTTGGTTAGAGCAACATCCCCATATACCAAGGAGAGGGGGCTGGGTGTGTGTGTGTGTGGATTCAATGCCCAGTCAGGGCACATACAAGAACCAACCAATGAATGCATAAGTAAGTGAGACAACAAATCAATGTTTTTCTCTCTCTCCCTCTTTAAAAATCAATAAATAAAAGTCAAATTTTCCGTCTAAACAACTTTTCTAATGTTTAGATGGAATCACCAAGCAGAATCCAATTCTCCAACGACTTCTTTGCTTATCTGTCTGCTTCCCAGAGGGAGGTCATCTCCCAAAACCTCTAAGCCATGCTGAAGAAGAGATTAAATGGTTGGATGATAAATCTAGAATATAACAGATATCTGTGTGGACCTGTGATATACCAAGCACTAAACAAGCATTATTTCACTTCATCTTCACAAGAGCCCATGAGGTAGGGCTTTACAGTTGAGGAAACTGAGGACCAGTAGGGTGACTGCCTCATGCAAAGGGCGGGGCGGGGCTTGAACTAGGCAAACAGGCTCCCAGGCCCTCACTCTTTTCACCCCCTCTCCGCTGTGGGCTCTAACCACCATCGCTGCGTTTTTCTTAAAACTGTCCACCTGAATCCCCCTGCTTACCCGCAGGGCCCTAAGGTTGAGACCCTTGGGGTGCCCGTTGGGGCCAAGTCTCACTATTAACTCTATTCAAGGAAAACCGAGCGCTCGCTCACTACGGACCAGGGCTTCACCTCACTCAGTTCTCATGACCCGAAACTTACAGATGAGGAAACTGACAAGAGTGACGTTTCTAAGGCACAAAAGGAATGAGGAGTCGGGCTTCGAAGCTGAGGCTTTGTTCAGAGACCAGGGATAATATGACGCCCCCGAGAATACGAAAGAGTCTCTGCGGCCCCAGCGCCCCGCCCCAGCCGAGCCTTTTTATATGCCAGCCTACGGGTCCCCGGCAGGGCCACGCCCGCCCCCTATTTTGGCCCCGTTCTAGCCAGACAAGACGGCCCCACCGTCTCCACGCGCGGCCTACTCTGGGAAAACCACAAGGCAGGCCTAGAAGGACCCGGCCGCCTTCATCTTAGTTGTCTTAATGTCTGCCTAAGAACACAATATTATGTTACTTATTTCTCGTCATTTTCGTTCACCAGCAATTGAAACGAAAAAAGGGGGCCTTTTAGGAAAAAAGTCTCTACAAGGTTGGATGTTTTCGGGCACACCAGGCATTCATTTGGACAGCTACACCTTCAGGGAGTCCTTCACTCCCACCGCCGCTGGTTTCGGTTAACAGGCAGAAGCGGCCGCCAATGAGCTCCGCTGAGTAGCAGAAGGGGCAGAACCTAACTCTTAAAGGAGCCACGACCCGTTAGGAGACCATAGGATGATCCAGATGATGGCGGCCAGCGCGGCCCTAGCCTTGGCCCTGGGGCTCTTACTGCCATCAGTGGGGGTGAGAGGGGCCGGGCCCCCACCGATACAGGACGGCGAGTTCACATTCCTGCTGCCGGCGGGGAGAAAGCAATGTTTCTACCAGTCCGCGCCGGCCAACGCGAGCCTCGAGACCGAGTACCAGGTAGAGGGACCTGGGCCGGAGAGCGAGCGGAGCCAAGGGGAGAGGGCGTGGCCAAGCGGCTACGGCAAGGCTGGCCTTAAAGGGGAAAGGGGCGGGAGCCTGTGCGTGAGAGCGTGGGGGCGGGATCTTGGGAAGGGGACGGGCCCAGCGCGTGGGAGCGGAAGGGGTGGGAGTAATGGACGAAGGCGGGGCTAGAGGACGACAGCCTGGAGGCGGGCAGCGGGAAGAATAGCGCCCTTCAGAGTCAGATCCCCGTGGGCGTGACCAAATTGTGGCGTATGGAAGAGGTTGGTGGGCGTGACTAGGATGCGCTATGAGAGAGGGCGTGACCTACATTTTGGGGGGGCTTGGGTAAAGGCTGAACTGGGTGGTCTCATTTGGGGCATCATCAAGTCAGGGGCGTAGCCAGACTTGGCCGATGAAGTACTTCCCACGGGGGCGGGGGCGTTGCCAGAGAAAAGAGCCGATCGCAAAGCTGTCATATCAAGCTGGGCAGAGCCAAGGCAGTGGGCGTGGCCTGAAGGACTGGTCCGGGCAGGACCTGGTTGCAGGTGTAGGTGCCATCTCTCAGGTAGTCTATATGGGTCTGCTCGGTGGTCCAGCCCTGGCCTTCTCTGGCATGTGTTCTTGGCCTACTCCTAGCTCTCCACCTGCTCTTACCTGCCCCCCAGGTGATCGCAGGTGCTGGGCTGGATGTGGATTTCACGTTGGAGAGCCCTCAGGGTGTGCTGCTGGTCAGTGAGTCCCGCAAGGCAGATGGGGTGCACACGTGAGTTAAGTCCTGCTGCCTGCTGGGGTTCGGTTACAACCCTGCCCCTCCCCATTGGCCTCCGGTTACCACCCTGCCTGTTTCTCAAAGTCCGGCTGGCGGCCATTCAGGGTCATGTGTGTGTGTCTGCCTATCTGCCCAGGGTAGAGCCCACGGAAGCTGGGGACTACAAGCTGTGCTTTGACAACTCCTTCAGCACAATCTCTGAGAAGCTGGTGTTCTTCGAACTCATCTTTGACAGCCTGCAGGATGATGAGGAGGTCGAAGGCTGGGCAGAGGTCGTGGAGCCTGAGGAGATGCTGGATGTCAAAATGGAGGACATCAAGGTGTGCCCTGGTTGAGCTGGGGCCACTCCTCCCAGATCTCTGGCATTGGGCTGTGCCCCTGCCCTCCCACCTTAGCTGGGGGCCTCCTTGGCCTGGCCCAGCCTTTCCTACCAGTGACGCCCCCAACTTAACAGTAGCAGCTCACAGCTAAAAATAATAGCACATTTCTAAGTGTAAACCCTGATTTTAAGGACTTAAATAACTCATTAAATCTTCATAACCACCCTATGAATTAGGCAGCGTGCTCAAATCATTCCCAATTTTATCGAGGCACAGGATGGCTACGTAACTGTTATAAGGTCACACAGCTAGCAACTGGCAGAGCCAATATTTGAAGCTGGCTTCAGCAAACTGTGCTGTTACCCACTAGTAAATACGTTCATTTTTTAAAAATACATTCTTTACACTTATGTAAGCATTCAGTTCTCCAACAGTTTTGAGGCACTTGAGGTCTAGAGAGTTAACTCCCAGCCAGTGATGGCAGAATGAGGGTTTAGATTCAAGCAGGCAGCCTGGTCAGTCCACTCTCAGCTCTCTCCTTCACCAATGGACTCTCACCCATTTCCCCATTTTGTCAGTCTCTGCTCCCCGAAGGACAGAGGCCTGACCCTGCTCCTCTCTTGCCCCACAGGAGTCTATCGAGACCATGAGGACACGTCTGGAACGCAGCATCCAGATGCTGACACTGCTGCGAGCCTTTGAAGCACGTGACCGCAACCTGCAGGAGGGCAACCTGGAACGGGTCAACTTCTGGTCGGCTGTGAACGTGGCCGTGCTGCTGCTGGTGGCTGTGCTGCAGGTCTGCACACTCAAGCGCTTCTTCCAGGACAAGCGCCCTGTGCCTACGTAGCCCTCCTCTGAAGAACAGAGAAAAGGAGTGGCAGCAGGGTGCGTGTGTGTGTGTGACTTAGAGGGTCCCTTCATCAACTTAGTTTTCTATGGGCCTGAGGTGTGGCCCCCTGCCAGGCCAGAATACTGACTGTCCTGCAGGACTGGACCATCCAGAAGGGGTAGCTCAGTGACTGCATCTGCTTCCCTGGAAATGGTGCATGGGGGGCACTGCAGCATTTGAATGCAACCCTGGGATTTTCTCGCCCCACCTGTCCCCTAAATGTGCCTTAGCCTGAGCCTTCCAGTTGCACCACTACTGCCTGGTGCAGAATGGGATCCAGGAAGCAAACTTTTTCTTCCCTTCCCCACTGGCCCTATGAGCCAAGACATGGAGGGAGGAAGCTTGCTGCTCATGGAACCCCATGCCTTCCTTCCCCTTCTTGTTGCTCCATCTGGGGCCTGTTGCTGCTGCTGCTGAGAGCAGACCGCTCATGCCGGAGCTGGGAAGGAGACTCAGCTGCAGTGTTCTTGCCAGGACAGTCGCTTTATTGATAGGAAGGAGCCGGCCCCTTGGCCCAGCAGGGGCTAGGTGTGAGGTCTGGTAACAGAATTCCAGGAGTGGGGTTTGCCAAGTCCTTCTGCCCCTCCTGCTCTCCCTGCAGGGGCCCTAGGCAGGGCTGAGGGGTAGCCTGGCCGAAGCCCATGCAGGAGCCTCACAGGACAAAGGGTGGTTTGGCCTGGGGACTGGAGCCAATAAATTATGATCAGAAAATCAGAGCCTGGTGACTGGGGCTCAGGGACACCAGCCAGGACAGACCTGCCCCCAAGAGGGCAGCCAGGCAGGCGGGAGGGGTCTCTCACGAAGCTCAGAAGAAGGGTCTGGCGGGAGCCGATGGAGGTGGTCGCCTGGGCATAAGAGAAAAATCAGAAAGCAAAGTTTAACTGCGTCCCCAGCTGGGCCAGAAGGCCTGGGGCCCCAAGAGGGGGAAGAGGGGACGTGGGGAGAAGTGCTCAGGACTTCAGGGCAAAGAGAGGGTGGAGGACCAGGATTCCTTCTCCCATCAGGGATCTGGATGCCCGCCCCAGGCCTGTGTGGCTGTAGTGGGGGGTGGGGCTGGGGAATATTTGCCTCCACTCCTGAGGTGCTATGGGTAGTAAAAGCTCTCCCCTCTGGAGCATGAATTCCTCTGGAATGAATCCTCCCAAGAGCAGCTCCCCCTGAGTAAGGTGTGGGGGAGGCTGTGGTGGAAAGAGCCGGGTCCTCATTGGAGACCTTGGGGGAAGGCAAGCAGTCCACATCCTCAGCCTGAACGCCAACACAAAAGGCCACACAGCAGCCACCAGAAGCTTCTTCCCTTTATTTTAGTTTATTAATAGGATACAGAGTGCAGGCACTTACAGTGGTCAACCCGAGAGGACAGTGAGCGAGGTCTGCTCAGAGAGTGGCCACCTGGGGCCTGCCCCATGTAGGAAGCCTGGGTAGGAGCCAAGGGGCCCCCAAGCCCCCCAACCCACTTAGCCCTCAACCCACGCCTCTCTGGGGACCCGGGAAGAGGAGGGGTGGCAGGAGGAGAGGCGAGAGCAAGGCCAGCAGAGCTGAGGGTTCCAGACCTGGCAAAGGCACCTCTGGCAGCCAAGGCTGGGCCGTGCGGTTAATACGGCCAAGAAAGGAATATGTACAACGTGGGCAGGGTGGGCAGCACTGGACCGGCTCCTGGCTTGCCACTAGGAGCTCCCACTGCTGAGAAGTGGACACATTCCTTGCACCTCAGCAAGGACTAAGGAGGGTACAGACACCTTCGGTGCCCAGATTCCAGAAGGCCTGGTCTGCTCGGGCTTTCTAGGCCTGAGAACCTCCTGGGTGAGTCCCTATTATTTCAGCCAGGATCCCTCATTCAAGATGGTTCTCAGGGTCCAGTTTCCTCCTCTGCTACCTCATCCCCCAAAGTGCAACACCCAAGTTCCCCCAGACTGAGGATCCAGGGCCCCTTCGTTCAGTGCTATGTCCAGCTGGGGATAAGGGCCAGGCCTGCCCCTGACCAGGCCAGGGTTAGGAGACAGGGAGCCTGGGCCTGGCATGGGGTTGAGTGGGCCAGGGCGGCAGAGGGGCCCAGATCAACAAAGCTCCTGCACTGAGGGTGCACAAGGAACCCTCGAGAAAATGCCCCTGCAGCCTAGTCGAGCAGGGATGGCTCGGCTGGGCGGATAATGGTGGGCCGGCTGGGCGCAGCCGGGGGTCTTCTGCTGCAAAGAGAATAGAGACAGGGAGGGGGAGATGGCAGTGAGGCTGGAAGCAGGTGACCATGAGGACCCAGGCCCCACCACCCCCTCCCAGGTTGCTGCCCTTTGCTAGGTGCTCTGAAGGGCATTGGTAGCCTGCAATCACTTGCTATGTGACCCTGGGCAAGTCCCCCACCCACCCTGGACCTCATGCTCCTCACAGGACAAGTGGGGGAAAGAGAGCTTGGCCTGCAAGGTGGGGAGAGGCAGGGCAGGGTTAAGCCCTGACTGATGTGTGTCCTCAGTAAAGAAGCAAAGGCCAGGGGAAGAGGCCCCGTGTGAGGGTCCCAAGCCGTGTGGCAGAAGATAGGCCTGGAGCCTTGGAGTCACAACTTTGGACAGTTGACTTGGCCTGTAAGGGCCTCAGTTTCCCCACCAGTCAAATGAAGATGCCAGTGACCCCTCTACTCCCTGCAGGGTTCAGGCCAGTGGCTCCAGAAGTAGGCAACTAGGGGGCCAGCCTTACCTGGGCACTCCAGGGGGGATGCCGGGTGGAATCCGAGCGGGCCGAGACGGGATCTGAGGTGGGGCCAAGAAGGGGTCATTATTGGCAAACACGCTCTGGGGTATGGGCCGGGACGGAATGGGAGGCGCTGAGAAGGAGGCTGCTGGCCCCACCGGCACAGGCATCAGGGGAGGCCCTGGGGTGGGGCCCCTCACTGCTGGGGGCCTTCCTGGGGGGTGCACGCTGGACACAGGTCGCCGCTGTGGAGTAGGGCTGTGGAAGAAAGAGGGTGTGAGCTGGAAACAGTGGGCAGGAACACCAGCCATGCCTATGTAGCCACAGAAGCCAGAGGTGGGCTGGGGCTGCTGACCACAGTGCCTCCTCTGTAATAGGCTGGGACAACTTACGACTCAGGGAGGGGACGTATGACTGAATGTCTGGTCCTGGACAAGGGGCAGTGCAGGTCCACTGGGATCCTCTGCTCGCCCCCCAAACCTGCTAGAAATGGCCATCCTGCCACCCCAAACCCACCTCTCCTTGGCTAAGGGTTCCTATTTCCCTGACGGCACTTCCACAGACTTTTCCTCTCCACCTCTGTGCTTCCCCCAATCCACCCTCCATAGCTGCAAATCCTAGCAGAGCTTAGCTGCCCTGTAAGTCAAGATCAGATGCTTACAGAGGCCACAAGTCCCTGCCCCACAGGCTAGCACAGGGCCGGAGCACCAGCTGCTCCCCCTGCTGGATGCTGTGTCCTCTCCCTAAGTAACTGGTTCCCTGAGGTCTCCATAGAGCTGACACTTCCTATGAAATTTCCTGGACCTACCCTCTCTCCTCCCACCACTTGCCTGACCTTTTACTGATTAGGTTCCCCTGCCTGATGCTCTGAATTACCCGCCCACACCAGAGTCTCATTTTCACTCACAGCTCAGGAGTGCTCAGAGGAGAGATTTGCTGGTTATGCCTCTCTGTTCCTCCAGATCCTGTTCCACCACCATTCTTGACCGTGCTCTGTGCCTGAGGCTGACCCCCTTGGCCAGTGTCACTCAGGTCTCTTCCCCTATCTGGCTTCCATTTAGGCTGAAGCAATGGAAGGCATCAAGAGACAGTCTGGCCTTTAACCCTCTCTCTCCCAGTCCAGGCTGAGGTGGGCTAGCAGCTCCCACTGGGTGCGATACCATCCGGATTGGGCCCCTTTACCCTGCCCACTCGTGGGCTCGGAGGAGCTAGGAACCTGCAGGCAGACGCCTCTGCAGCCAGCGGGTGACCAGACCTTACAGACCTGTGGTTGCTGGCGTTCTGGAGCCAGGTGTCATCAACGGGTGGAGGCACGGGTGTGGACACAGTGCTGGTGCTGATGTCCCCTATTATGTGGAGCGCTTCCTTCAGTGCGTGGTACATGCGCAGCATGTCGTCTCGCCGCTGGGCCTGCTCAGCTGACTCCTCCATGAGGCTGTTCTGATCTGCCGATGAGTACAGGTAGGCCAGCAGTTCGTGGTGGATGAAGGCCTTCGTCTGGGGACAAGGATCAGAGTGGTCAGAACTTCCCACCAACCGACCGTGCACTCAGCTGACCACTGAGGCTGGCTACAAAAGCATTGACTACAATAGGAAGCGCTTTCTTTGTCTTTATCGTAAAACATGTACAATATTTAAAACAGCTGAAAGGTTCAAAGGGAACCAAGAAGGCGGTGTAATTAATGCCGGTCGGTACTAACAGCCTCCCACAACCACATCCAAATTGCAACTAAAATGCAGAACGACCAACCCTCATTCAGAACCGCCTGCAATCCGGCTGAATGGAAGTCCTAAGACTAGAGAAGTAAAAATAAAGCACATTGAGATTGGAACGAGGGCAGACAGACAATTGGATGGTGAAGGCAGGGGAGGACTAGAAGAGGTCAAAGGGGAGAAAAGGGAACATGTATAATATTTGCAACAATAAAGATTTAAAAAAGAAATTTTTACTGATTTCAAAGAGGAAGGGAGGGGGGAAGAGAAACATCAACAATGAGAAAGAATCACTGGCTGTCTCCTGCATGCTCCCCACTGGGGATCAAGCCCTAAACTCAGGTATCGAACGTGACCTTCTGGTTCACAGGTTAGATGCTCAACCACTGAGCCATACCGGTTGGGCCCATATATACTTAAAAAAAAAAAAAAAAAAAATATATATATATATATATATATATATATATATATATATATATATATATATGTTTTATTGATTTCAGAGAGGAAAGGAGAGGGAGAGAGGAACATTAATGATGAGAATCACTGACTTGCTGTCTCCTGTGTGGCTCCCACTGGGGATCGAGCCTGCATCCCGGGCATGTGCCCTTGACTGGAATCGAACCTGGGACTCTGGTCCACAGGCCGATGCTCTACCCACTGAGCCAAACCAGCTAGGGCCCATATATGAATTTTAAGGTTCAGGCTGCAGAACCATTGATATCGTAAATTTCATCAATATATATGTGAAGAAGATAGCAGGGTACCCAGAAAACTTCACACTGATCATCACTGAGGAGACCATGAAGAATGGAACAAAAGGGAAGGAATTTGGGATTTTTGCTTTAGATCCTGTCAGAGTTTCAATTGTTATGGTCACAACACAAATCAAACCTGGTTATGTAGCTCTCTGCGTACCTGCTGCAGAGCCAAAGGCCTGTCACGGAGATGTTAGTGCGGCTGCATTTTATCAAAGACAAGCCTAAACGACTGGCTTGTGAGCCCAGGTCGGGCAGGTAACGCTAAAGCGAAGGCAGGCTGGGCTGCAAGCCATCAGGAGGCCAAGGCTGCCAACATGAGGCTAAAGTTGGGGATAGACTCAGTCTGACTCTGAATCCCAACTTCCACTTTTCTGAGTGCTGGGGCAGGTTTCTTGACTTCTGTGGGTCTCCATTTTCCTGTCTATAAAATGGGGATGGTAGGAGTCCCTCTCCTATGGTTATTGTAAGACTAAAAAGATTAATTTAGAGAAAGTGCACACATGTCGTGTTAGCTTAAATTACCTGCTAAATGTAATGAACCCTGTGTGGCCGGTACCTTTCAATTTCCCAGAAGAAGCTGGGAATCCTGATTTTGATATTTATTTATTTAAAATATATTTTATTTATTTTTTACAGAGAGGAAGGGAGAGGGATAGAGTTAGAAACATCGATGAGAGAGAAACATCAATAATTGCCTTCTGCATAATCCTTACTGGGTATGTGCCCACAACCAAGGTATATGCCCTTGACCAGCACCAAACCTGGGACCCTTAAGTCCGCAGGCAGACATTCTATCTACTGAGCCAAACTGGTCAGGGCTGATTTTGATATTTAAAAGGTAGTAACTAAATTCTTTCTTTTATATAGTGTTTAGGCCAAATCTGGTTGTGGCCACTACTGGCCCATCCCTGTGAATGAGGCCCTGCAGGGCCAAACACTTACATTGTTGATCATGAGGTGCATGATGGTCTTTGGCATGAGGTCGCGGATGGACTTGTTGATGATGGCCACGTAGGAGTCTACCAGGTTGCGAATGGTCTCCACCTGGCGCTCCAGCTGTGGGTCCATGGAGAAGGTGTTCTCTTGCACTCCACCATCCTCGTTTTCTGCCTGCAGGTGGGACAGAGGTGGTGAAGGGTGACTGAGGTCTAGGAGAGCATAGGGAGCCCCTTTCTTTGAAAACCTCTTACCCTGTCCCACCCACAACCAACCAACCCTCCAGGGCTGGCCCCTGATGGCCATGTCGGCATGTGGCCCTGCCTGCTCCTGGATTGAGCTGTCTGGACCTGAGGTGACCATGGCCCAAAGCGGGTTAGATCCTACTTGGGGATTGAAACCAATGAAGAGAGAACAAAGCAGATGGGGTCCTAGTCCCTATTCATCCCTATCCTTGGCTTCAGTTGGAGAACCTTCTGGGCCCCGAGGACAAAATCTTCCTTCTACTTCTCTGCTTCTTTGCTAAGGGTATGGGCTCCGTGCCTTCAGAGAGCTGTGGTAAATGCACCCTGGAGATGACTTATCCTATTGAGATCCTAGCCCCTTTCTCCCCAGACGGGGTCAGCTCAGCCGGAAGTGTGCTGGCCAGGCAGGGCATGGAGCTCCTCACCTGGTCCTTCTCAGGGTAGACACCAGCTCGGAGGAAGGAGGCCTTCCAGCTGTCCACTTCCTCCTGGGACTCACAGGCCAGCTCGATCTGCCGCAGGTCCTTATAGACATTCCTGTGATGGGAAGAAGAGAGAGAGGCATGACTGTCCTTGACTATGGGCCCAGATTGGGTGTAATGAGCTCTGAGTGACTGGGGTTCAAACGTGACCTAGGCACTCACGACCAGAGACCCCAGGATGTGCAGGAGGCAGCTGGTCGATGTTTCTCTCTCATTGATGTTTCTAACTCTCTATCCTTCTCCCTTCCCCTCGGTAAAAAAAAATCAATAAAAATATATTTGATAAAAATAAATAAACAAATACCACCATGCAATCACAATTTCCCAATTCACATCCCCTCCTGAGGCTTGTTCCTAAATGCCACACTCTTTTTTTTAAAATATATATTTTAGTGATTTTTCACAGAGAGGAAGGGTGAGGGACAGAGAGCTAGAAACATCGATTAGCTGCCTCTTTCACCCCCCTCACTGGGGATGTGCCTGCAACCAAGGTACATGCCCTTGACCGGAATCGAACCTGGGACCTTTCCGTCTGCAGACCTCAGACCGATGCCCAATCCACTGAGCCAAACTGGTTTCGGCCTAAACGCCACACTCTTATATCTACCCAGTCACCTCCCACAACCCCACAGGCCTCTTCATGGCTCCTATTTCCAGCTTACCCGGCCTCCACCTCCCCATCACGGTTGCTGGCAGCTCCCTCCCTGCAGGAGCTCAGGGTCGCCAGCAATGCCTTTCTCTCCATATCCACCAGAAGTTTGGCAGCTCCTCCTCTCTGTCCCTAAGCGACACCCAGGTCCAGCCCCATCGTCTCCCACCTGGACCAGCACAGTCCCTTGGTCCAGGTGCCCTGGGCCCCCGCCACACTCGCATGTCTGTCTCCCACGGCCACGAGAGGGCGCCTGTGAGCACCTGAGTCAGGTCCCATTCCTGTTTAGAACCCTCCAAGGCTCCTGCATCATTTCCTCTGTCTCTGCCCAGAGGATCCTCCCTGACTACCCATGGCATTTTTTTCAATGGGCTTTCTTTCTAGAATGTGATATGCCAGGGTAGGGACTGTATTCATCAGTCCTCAGGATGCTGCTGAATGACTGAAGGTCTCCACCCTGGGACCCCGTGGGCACCCACCTCTGCTCCGTGTTGAAGATGGCAAAGACGTGCTTGTTGGACATGAAGCCCTTCTCCACATCACGGATTTTGAGGTTGTCCAAAGGCAGCATGTATTTCTTCTCTTTCTCCTGAGGGAGGAAGGGCAGGGGTCAGCCTATGCAGTTTAACCGAAGACCTGAGGATGCCCAGGACTGGGCTCTACAAGGACCACTGCCAACACTCGATGCTTCTCATTTTAGCCACATTACTCAGGTTAACTTGCCCACTACCGCTGCCCCCTTGTTCACTGCCCCAGCCATGCTGGCCTCCTCCACACTCCCCGAACATCCCGGGCAAGCGCCCACCCAGGACCCTCTGCACATCTGGGACCTCTGCCAGGGACACTCCGTGTCTGTGGCTCCCTCCCTGCCCCCTTTGGGTCTTTGTGCAGAGATCTTGGCAACACCTGCCCTAACCCCAACCCAACCTCCCTCAGATCCCAACCTCTTTCCCCTTGATGCTTCCCCTCACAACACAACTTTATGTCTTGCTATTGATGTGGGCTACTGTCTGTCACCGGGCTGACTCCTCAGTTCCTGGAGGGCAGGGACTCCTGTCTATTTGATCACTGCTGACACACAGTGGATGCTCAAAGCTGGCCAGCTCTGACTCCACCCAGAATCCACTTCTCCCCTTCAGGCTGGGGGGATGAACTGTTAACTCAGCTACAGCCTCACAATGAGCTTGGAAGTGAGCTACCACTGTGCTCCCTTCTATAGAGGGGAAGGAGACAGAGGCACTGAGAAGGGCAGGCAGGGAGGCAGGGGCAGGGCTGGAATTTCAGGTGACCCAGGAGCTGGAAAGCAAGGCTTCACTGAACTGACTGATGGCTGAGCTCCAAAGCCACAGAAGTGTCCCTGGGTTCCTAAGGGCCCCATTTAGGAAGTGCCTTTGGAGATCAGCCTAGAGCCCAATGCTCCCCACCATTGTCGGCAAAGCATCTGCAGGACCGGCACATCGTTAGTTTTCACAGCAGCCATGTGTGCGCGTGCACGGGCTTCCACACCAGGAAACCAGAGCATGGTGTTAGGGCTCCCCGGCTCCCATGCCACGTGACCCATATTAACTCTCAAGGACCAATGGGAAGTGTTGCTCCTCTATCAGCTCATGACACCTTCCACCATCCCTGCCAGGGAAGCATGCTCGGAGGGGGGCTGGCTGCCCAGGACCACTCAGGGGCATGTGCCTCCAGACTACGCTCTCTTCACCATTCTGCTGGCGACTTTGGAGGAGACCTGTCTCCTCACCCAGCAATTCACTGCTTTCCACCTCTCTGTCCCTGTCTGCCAGAAGGCCCCAGAACAAAGCCCGACATGGCTGCTGTTTCCAAATCCAAGAGCAACCAGTGATGGAGGGGAAGGGGGCCAGGGCTGGTTCAGAGTTTCAAGACTATAGACAGGGAGACAGGAGCTGGTGGTCAGCTTGGTGCCAAGCATGGGCTGTCCTTGGGTACTAGGAGCTCAGACCTCTGCCCGTCCCTGAGCAAGCCACTTCCCCTCTATCAAAGGCAGACAGGAGTCTTGCCCTCCTTGTTTGAGGTGAGAATTGATACTTTGTGAGAAAGTACGGATTATGTGCCAACCCATAGCCAGTGCTTACAAGACACCAGGGTTTTCTTTTGTCCGTGACTCTCATGCACCAGGGTCAGCCTACGTAGGCTCTGGGCAGGGAGGAAGCAGACATAGCGCTTCTCCAGGTCAAGCTGCAGTGAGAGGCCCAGTGCCCAGGAAGATGGGACACACACACACACACACACACACACACACACACATACACACATGCACACACGCTTCAGGCTCCAGACTTGGAGCCCAAGGGGGAGAGTGAGGTGAAGACAGGGTGTACCCGCTGTCCCAGGCAGTTTGGGGGGCTTTATAGAGAACAGGGCAGGAGTTCCCTGACTGAAAGTTTGTGGAAAGGCCTTCACTGCCCCCGCCCTGCTGTGTCACGAGGCAGGAAGCTTCTAGTCAGCTAGCCAGGCCAAGTAACTGAGTCACAGTCCTTTTGGACCCCGAGCGAGACGCCACATCTGGAACTGTTTATAGTGTGATTCCACCCAGAGCACAGCGGCTGCCTTCCAGGGGCTGTCAGCGCACGTACACATATACACACACACACACAGAGCCTGTGTGTATGTGAGTGTGTGTGTGTGAGTGTGTGTGTGTGTGTGTGTGTGTGTGTGAGTGTGTGCGCCCGCCCCTATCCTGACCCCCAACGAAAGCGTCTCCTGCACGCAGAGGCCACGGACCCAAACCCTCCTTCCCACCCACCCCCTCCTTAGGATTTCCTGAAAACCCACAACTTTCTCCAGATGCAAGCCAGCCCAGCCTTGCCACGTCAGAGAAGCTAGAGCGGACTGTCCGGGCGGAGCAGGGGCGTCCTCGCCTGCTCAGAGGTGCCGAAGCGCGGTGGCCCTGCTGCAGCTGGGGGCCCACAGGATGGACACCAGCCCCGCCAACCCAGTGTTCAGACTACCTGTTCAGGGGCTCCGAATGTGTACAGTAGTCTGCACATTGGTTAGGCTGGGCTTGGGCCAGCAGCACGTCGGGACAGGGGCCCCCCAAACTTCCTGCCACCCTCACAAAGAGACAGACCTGGAGGTGAGTATTATTGCCCACCACCCTGTTTCCCACTGGGGTGGAGACTAAGATGGAAGGTTCTGAAGTCCAGAAATAGGGTTTGGGAGAGGTGGGAGAGGTTCCAGGGAAAGGCAGAGAGAGTCCCGACGCCGGTCATAAGATTGGGGGGCCCTGGCTGAACCATCCTCCTACATCCACCTCTGGCAGAAACCACCCCTTGTTTATTTTTTAAAATAAAGAAATACAAATGTCCTGCCCCTCTCTGAGGCTTCCCTAAGGAGCCCGGTGCTGGGGGTGGCCACCGTGGGTGACTCTGAGGGTCCCGGCTGGAATCCTAACCCAGGCGGAGGCACAGGATTTCGCTCCCGCCCTTCCCGATCGGAGCGGCTTTGTGTCTGGGGCAAACACAAGGCCCCTTTCACAGGCCTGCTGGTTCTCATTACCACCGGCGGGCATTTGACCCTCCTCCCAACACTTCCCCTGCCTCTGGTCTGGGGCCCCAAGGGAGAGTCTGGGGCTCCTGCTTTCAACCCCTACGTGAGAGGCAAACGAAGTTCAAGAAGAGAATCTCTGAAAATTGGACTTGCAATGGTGCCGAGCGGTGAACCGGGTCAGGGGTTGGGCTCAGAAGCCCCTTTATAACTGCCTTAGGCCGGCATCAGGCCCTGGCACCCCCAGCCCAAAGGCGGGGACCAGCCCTGAGCTGGTCTGACAGCTGACGAACCACAGAGCAGGCTGAGCTTCAGACTATGGAGGCGGAGAGGGGGAAAATGTGAAAGCGACACCCCACCCCTCACCCAGCCATTTTAAAGAGCTGATGTGGCCACCAGGGTTCCTTGAGGAATGCCTGGTCTCACCCTCCCCCCACATCCAAACCCTATGAAGCTGTGGGGTCCTGAACAACCCCCCACCTTTGTTTAAAAACAGCCACCCCGACAGGGTCCCTCCCTTTAGGAGACCCAGAGCTCCTGAGATTTCCAGAACATTCCAGGGTGAGTGTCTGGACTCACTGTGTGGAGTAGGATTTCACCTCAAACATGCCCCCTTGGAGGAATCCACATCCGGCCTGGGCTGTGGGGCAGTGGTCCAGGCCGGGGCTGAGGTGTCTCTCAGGTCAGGAGCTTGTGCCCTTTACCCACCCGTGGGGCCCCTTCTCTGCTCTGTGACGGGGCCAGTCACCAGCTGGAGGCTGCTTCCTCACTGACAAAGTGTGAGGACTTCCTGAGGAGGATCCTCTCCGCGTGTGGCCTCAGTGGGCGACACAAGTAAGAGCCACTCACCCAGGAGCCCCAACAGTGCTCTACCTGCCTCTTCTCTGGACCTGGGAGCAAACATGCAGTTTGGCCCAGGCCTGGCTGTCTCAGAATGGGGACGTCTGCCGATGGGGCCGTTTCTAAAGGGGGTCCCAAGGGGAGGCTCCAGGGCTAACTTCTCCTCTGAGGGCACCTGGGCTGGCTGGGGGCTATGCCATCCCAGATAAGCAGGACACACAGTGGCTATTAACTAGAATCTGGTCAGGAACATGTATGTGAGCAGTGTGATGTGTGCACATTCTCCGTTAGGCCCTTATTTCCCTTGTTGGGGCTGCTGGAGGCCATGTGGTAATGGGCGGGGAGGGGCGGGGGGAACCCTGGTGGCCACATCAGCTCTTTAAAATGGCTGGGTGAGGGGTGGGGTGTCGCTTTCACATTTTCCCCATCTTGGACAGTGAGGGGAGTCCTGTGTTAAAGCAGCAACAAGAAAAGAGAAGCCTAGGTTCTGGTCAGCCTGCAGCACTGAGCCACCGAATTCACCAGGGACACGTACAAGAAGCAGACTTCTGTTTGGGTAAGTGCCTTCATTTGGGGCCTGTCACAGATACACAACACTGCCCTGGCCAACAGGGAGAGCCTGTGGGTCTCTCAGAAGGCAACCCAGAAAAATGACAGACACAGCACTCCTGGCTGGAGACCCCTTGGCCCAGGACAGTGGCAACAGGACACATAGGAGTGGCTTCACTCCCAGGCCACTAAGCCACAGTTATGTTGTTCCATTAGGATAATAAGTAAAGAAATGGGCCACTCAGGATGGGAAAATGGGCTGACGCACAGACAGAGGATGGTCCTGAACAGCAGTGCCTCCCTCTCGCCCTCCTTCTCCCCTCCTCTCGCCGCTCCCTGCTCCCCTGTTCATGGAGACAGCATACAATACTGCTCCCTGAGGTGCTCCCAACAGTTCCTGGTGCTATTCCATGAGGCCTCCCTCTGTCCTTCTGATCAGGACAAGAATGTGTGTAATGTTCTAAAGATGACACTATGGCTCAGCAGGTAAGGATCATCCTTTCCACTTCACAGATGAGGAAACTGAGGCCTAGAGAGGCGAAGGGCTTGGTTGAGCCCATATAGGTTGTATCCCATGGAATCCCAATACTCTAGCAGCCTGGCTGTAAGCCTGAGTCCCTGATCCCAGCTGTGTTCCCCCTGCGAGCCAGAACTTCCCCTTGCTATACCTTTGGAGGCTGGGGTCTGTTTCCAGCCCACCAGTGGCTCCCTCCCCCATCTTCCTTTCCTCCACAGGGACAATGGGGGCTGGGATACAATGTGTGAAGCCTGGGACACCCTCCAGCCTTGGCTGTTACCATCCTAATGGTGACCTCTGAGGCACAATGGTACTCAGGAAACATTTCTTGAATGAACAAGTCAGTGAATGAGTAAACAAATGATACACAACAATAAGTGAGTGACAAGTGAGGGGCCACCATTCTTGCCCTTTGGCTTCAGCTCTGCCAGTCACTCACCTCCTCATCCTTGTACCAGGACAGAGATTCGGCTGTCAGCACAAACCAATACTCCTTGGAGCCGCCCTTCATGAGGCTGATGTTGTTGATGGTCAGCCAGCCCTTGCGGATCACCTGGAGAGAAGGCCACAGCTCAGTGGAGGACCCACCGCCCAGCCCAGCCCACCCCCAGCACAGCGCCAGAGCCCTTGCCCCCAGCAAGACAGGAAGCCAGGGACCAAGACAGAGATATCTCCAACCCAAAGACAGCCAACCTGCCCTGACTGGGCAGCTCAAGTGGTTAGAGCATTGGCCCAATACACCAAGGTTGTGGATTCGATCCCCAGTCAGGACACATGAAAGAATCTACTGCCCTAGCCGGCTCAGCTCAGTGGGTAGAGCATCGGCCATTGGACTCAAGGGTCCCGGCTTGATTCCAGTCAAGGGCACATGCCCGAGCCAGATCCCCAGTAGGAGGTGTGTAGGGGGCAGCCAATCAATGATTCTCTCTCATCACTGATGTTTCTCTCTCTCTCTCTCTCTCTCCTTCTCTCCCTCCCTCTCTCTCTCCCTCTTCTTTCCTGTCTGAAATCAATAAAAATATATTTTAAAAAAATAAATCTACCAGTGAGGCCCTGTCTGGGTAGCTCAATTGGCTAGAGTAATATCTCAATATGCCAAGGTTGTGGGTTCGATCCCTGGCCATGGCACATACAAGAATCAACCAATTAATGCATAAATAAGTGGAACAATAAATCAATATTTCTCTCTCCCTCTCTTTCAAATCGATTTTTTTAAAAAAAAATATTAAAAAATCAAATAGCCCAGCTGGTGTGGCTCAGGGGTTGAGTGTCCAACCATGAACCAGGAGGTCATGGTTTGATTTCTAGTCAAGGCATGATCCCCAGTAGGGGACATTCATGAGGAAGCTGATCCATGATTCTCTCATAGATGTTTCTAGCTCTCTCTCCCCCCCTCCTTTCCTCTCTCTGAACTCAATAAATACATATTTTAAAAAACCATTGTCAATACATAAATAAGTGGAACAAAAACTGATGTCTCTCCCTTCCTCTTTAAAATTTATATATATATATATATATATATATATATATATATATATATATATATATATATTTAAAAACAGCCAACCCAACTTCATCTTGCCCCAAGCACTTTCCACTGGAAACCCATTGGGGCATGTGGGTGGACAGTCATTGATTCATTCACGTGCCAGGGTTAGGATGAGTTAGTACAGGTGGCAAAAGGTACGCCTGCTGAAAGGGGCCCAGAGGAGGGATCCAGGCTTGTGTGTGTAGCCACACAGAATGTGACAGTGGTGAATCGTAATTATCTTAATGAGACATGAGCATGAGGGATGCCCCCCATCCCCTCAGGAAGGTCAATGGAGGACTGGAGGAGTCATCCCCACAATGAAAGTTGTTTTTTCCTTTCAGGAGTCAGAGGCTCATCTCAGCCTTGACTGCTGTCTACTTTGTTGGCTTATCTGACAGCAAACCAGGACAGGTGCTCAGCAGGCACAGGTACCTGCTTTGACAGCTCCCATCCTGGGGCTCCGTTTCGGGGCACGAGGGTGAAGGGATGCCTTCATCCAGAGCCCTGGGCGCATAGGTCTGAGCCCAGGGGACCTGCAGGGAATATGCCCGTCATCCCACTTTTCTCTGTCTGACGCATTGGGCTGAGAGACCTCCTGGATGGGGGTCATCAGGCAGAGGCTGTCATTTGAGTGAGAGGCAGAACCCAGGCTGGTGCAGGGGACTCACCTGTCAGGCAGCCTGGGGGGCAATGCTCTCATGTTCCCTGGGCCATGGAGGCATGTGTGGGCCAGAGCCCCCCACCAACCTAGAATGGGGACCCCAGGGCAGCGGGAAGCATGTGGAGGCACAGGCAGGGTTGCCTGAGGCCAAGGCAGCAACAGACTATGCCTACCTGCAGAGAGTAGGCTGCAAGCGGCCACAAATAGCTGAAAAGAGCCGGTGGTGGGGCTCCAGATTGGGGTGGGGCAGAAGCACCCTACATGGGGACTTGGGGGTGCTTCTGGGGCCCATGTAACTTCCTAGTGGGTGGGTATCAGGATGGGCTGCATTCTGCCTATCCTGATCTGACCCCAGGCTTACAAAATCTTATCAGGGAGACCAACCCCCAACCCCTACTCCTCTTGGGGCTAGACTTAGGCTCTGAGCCTCGGAACTTAAAGATGGAGGTGGCCACAGAGCACTCAAGAGACCCCTGCATCATGCAGAAGCCCCTGCCCAGGCTGGAGATGGCATGATGGCCGGAAGCCCTTGTTAAGACCAAGGACACAGAATTCTCCCTCCCTTGGATGACAAGACAGCATTTTGGAATCTTTTGGCCATCAGGAAGCAGGCAGTGACCACAGGCTGCCTGGCTGGTAAGGGGGCAGAGGCCATCAGCTCCAACAAGGTTATGGTATCCTCCTTCGCAGCAGGATGACCAGTTTAGCACTAAAAGTCTCGAGTCCCAGGTAAAGCAGGAAAGAAGGTCACACTGAGGGCAAGGCTGGTCTCTAGACTCAGGCCCAAGGCCTTTCTGCTTTGGGACCCGGGAAGCAGCCCCTGTATCTGGCCACCACACCCAGCTCCCAAGCTTAGGGGCTCTGCTCATGCCTGGTCCTCTGCTCCCCAGGGAGCAGGGCCTGCCCTGGGTTAGTCCAGGCCCACAGAGTGAATGTTTCAGTCATTGATTGACAGCTGAGGGAGGAAGAGGGGGATGGAAAGACAGGCTGTCAGTGTTCCCCAGATAAATCCTCCCATGAGGCCTTTGCACTCATGGGCCCAGCCTGTGCCCCAACCACCCTTTGGTGGCCTCACTTGCCTACAGGCCATGTGGCATGAGATGGGGGTCTCCCCAAGAATGGCACATGAGCCTCAAGGCAGGAGGCTGCCAATCAGACCTGTAGAAGCCCCCGAGGCCCCTTCTCCCTCAAGCCATCCAGAGAGCTGCCTTCATGTGAATCCAACTGGGGTTAGAAACAGAACCCCACCATGAAAAGATGCAAGCTGTGGGTAGCAGACACAAGGCGCTGAGCCTAAAGAAAAAGGAGTACCTGGACCCCCTCATCCAAAAGCCCAGGGGGACTGGGCTTAAAACAATGGGGGATGGGAGCAAGGTGGGCAGGACAGACAGAAGAGGCAGGCAGGGCTCCAGGGTACACAGCAATAGGCATGCCAGGGTGGAAGAAAGGACCACAGGGATAGCATGGGCAGCAGGCAAGAAGCGACACAGCTGGTGCCCACCAGCAGGGTCGGCCAGCCTCCTCCCGGTCGAGGGATCCAGCCTCAGTTGCCCAGGTAGGGACAGCAACCACAGCTGGGAGACCTGGGGACCAGCCATGCACACAGCAGGGCTGGGCTTTGTGAACAGGGGTCTGGAATCCAGCAGGAAAAGAATGACTAAACCTCTCAGGGTGTGGAAAGAAGCAGGCCCCTGGACTGTTTAGAGGCAAGAAATCATTCAAGTTCCAAAGGGATTGGAAGTGATGTGGGAATCAGGAGCCAAAGAAATTCTATTTTTCTTGCTCCCTCCGCCCCCAAGCTCTGGCTCTTTCTGTATCCTCTGAGAGAATTCAAGGCCCTGGGCACAGTGAGGCCCTGGCACAGGATCAGCTCAGCTACTGGAAAGATCTTGGGGTCGAAGACCCATGCTAGAGGGCAGTGGGACCCAGTACCTCAGTGGCTGGTGGTGGGAAACCATACCGGAGAAGGAGGCTGTTGTTAGGGCTGGGGGCACAGGCCTTGCTCTCCAAGGTGGAGAGCTGGGGCTGAGCCAGTTGCCCAGAGGCAGGCACCTTGAAAAAAGCTCAACTCTCAGACTTAAGCAGCACCTGCTACCTGGTGGGCTGGGCCACACAAGGAGAGGAAGTGTAACAACAGGGATGGCAAATACCACTTATGTGAGGGCCACACTCATCAATGAGTAGGAGCTGCCTGAAGTGCAGTGGTAAGAATTCTAGGTGCCATGGGAAAGAATGCTAGGATTGACAAATGATGCCTGCCACAGGCAAAGGATAAGAGCTTAATCCATTGTGTATCTGCCATGGAGGCAGGATAGTGGCAGCATTCAAGAGTGAGTTCCCTGGTCCATTAGTCATGCCTGTCATGAACTGTGTCACATACAAAGCTATCATCTGGGAAATAAATTCCCCAGCCAATTAGTCATATCTGCTATAGAATGGGGAGTGGTGGCATGCTTAGGAAAGAGTGCCAGGAATGGTTAGCAGGGTCTTCCATGGGCACATGACAGGGGAGAGGCCTGGGGGAAAGGATGCTAGATCAATTAGTAATGCCTGCCATGAGCACAGGAAGGGGAAATTTCCCCCTCAATGATGTCTGTACTGGGGACAAAATGGCGGCAATGGCAAGTTCCAGCAGAGCTTGAGCAAAATCTTCTGAGAAGGATGTGATAGAGGGAAGGGAGGGAGGAGTATTAGTCAAGTATTTGCCATCTCTGACCTACAGGAAACCAGGTCCACATGTTAGGAATGGGCTGGAGGGGGGCCTTCCACCAGGCAGTGGTCAGGTTAGTCTGTGTAAGTCCGCTTATAGCCCAGGGCAACACGACATCAGACATAGGCTGTGGCAGGGAGGTTTAGGTTAGCTTGATTGTTAGTAGTTTTTTATTTTGAGGGGAAGGGAATGTTAAGGAGTGGGGGGTGTCCACCACCACGACAGTCTCTAATATTTGCTACCACACTAAGTGGGTACTTACCAAGATCTCCCCCTTTGAAAATGCAAAGTTAGGTAAATCAAAGAAGAGCAGGCAGAGAAAAAGAGACGCAAGGGACATGAGGGGACAGAGAAAAAGCAGGAAAGGCACACAAATGTGAAGAGAGAAGAGCAGAGGGGAAAAAAAAAAAAAAAAACAGCAAAAGAAAAAAAATTACATGCTATTAATTATATTCATGGTGTTAATATTTAATTCATTATCATCTCCTGAAACAAAAAAGCAACAACATACGTATCAACAAGCACAAAAAAAAAATCATGCAGTGGTTACACCCTTCTTTTCCAGAGGGTTCGATCATCGTGCAAGATAAATAGCAGAGTCCCCACCCTCATCCCTGAGTGATATGGAGAAGCAGGGGACACGGGCAGAAAGATGATGATTTTCTCAAAAAACCCAAAAAACGAATAGTGGTAAATATAAAGCTGTTCTTATTTCATGGCTTCTGGCTGGGGTACATCATCAAGGTAGAAAACCCTGTGTGTGACTTAGTTTTTCCACGGGTGGGGAATTCATTTTCACAATGCAGCCTCCCATAGGCTCCTAGTCCTTGGGGCCGAGAACCCAATGTGGCCACAGACACCATTGGTGATTGTGCTGCCCTGAGGGTCAAGTTCTAACCATGGCCTTGGATGTTCAGACAGGGACTCATAGGTGTATAAAATCTGCCTTGGCCCTGCCAGAGCTTTGGCTCTCAGACCAGTTTCCCGAAGCATCAAAACCTAAGTGGACGTAAGAGGCTGCAGGGTGAGGATCTGGTGGGGCATGCACACACCAGGTGCCATTGCAAGGCTCAGTGGTCCCTCAGTGCCCTCCCGCTCCCGCCCCCTCCCGAGGGTGGAACTGCGGGCCCTAGAAGGGTGGTTACCTGGTTGGGAATGGCTCTCTTCTTGTTCAGCTGTGTGCTCCTCTGCTGGGCACTGAAACCAAAGCACAGAGAGGCTCATGCAGGTGAGAAGCTGCAGGGTGCAAGAGGCCCTTATGGCTCAGGTGGGGTTCTTTACCACATGAGGGGGCCAGTGACCAGTTAAGGGCAGAGTGAGAGAGGAACTGCCCTGCACACACAGTGCTGCCTAAGGGAGAGGGCTCAGGTCCGTGGAAGGAGGAAATGTATGGAGTTAAACTGAGGCTTCTAGGGCCTGATCTCTGTCACTCCTAAGAGCACCAGCTGTTTCCAAAGTGACTGGGTACTGGAGCCTCAAGAATGAGCATGAGGAAGCTGGATTTCCAGGTGGCTCAAAATCAAAAACCGGAGGCTTGCTCTCGCTCTCAATTCTTACCCCTACCCCTAGCAGTAAGTTCTAAGAAGCTCTGACCACAGTGTTATCAGACCTGGGAGATCAGACCATGGGGCAGCTGCTTATCAATAAACCTCACTCATCTTGGATGGCTCCTGCCCCAAACCAGAGAACAGTCAAGGTCCCTTATTTATCTACAGTCCCAGATAGCTTTTCTTAATCTACCCTGTTTCCTGGCTAGTGCATGCTAGGAAATGAGGAGGGCAGCTGAAGGTCACATATCTCGCACCTACTTAGCTCACTTGTTTGTCCTAATGTCATATCTTATCGTATTGCTTTAGCTGGAATTTTCAGAACAGTATGAAAAGGCAAACCATCCTGTTTCATTCTTTTACTCACTGCCTTTGGGGTTTTACATTAAAGTTCAAGTTGGCTGTTGGATAAATTGAATATGTGTGTGTGTGTGTGTGTGTGTGTGTGTGTACACAAAAAGGGAATAAGTTTCTGTTCCCTGATAAGTAAAAATTAAAATATTAAGAATGGAGGTGGCATTTTCCCCCAAAATTTTCCTAATGTTCAATGAGTTTATTACAGGGCGTTTGCTTTGGGTTTTAGTGTGGAGAGGGCCATGGGAAAGCAGCCCAGAACATCCAAGCAAAGAAGTTTGACCAAAAGTGTCTGAAGAAGACAGGACTGAGCTAAGCCACTCATGGCAGGGCCTGGGTGCTAGAGAGGTCCCAGATATGCTACTTCCTATGGGCTCCCTGCCTTCCTTGGCAGCCAACACGGCTGCACCTTTCCCTTGCCTGCCCCCAATAAGAGACCCCCCACCCCCACCCCTGCAGCCTGCAGGGCCCTCCTGGTGATGGGGCCTGGCCTCTCTCCTTCACTTTGCGCTGGTCTCCTATTCTCCTGGCTTCTCGGCCTTCCATCTCTAAGCTCTCTGGCGTACCCCGCCTGTCACCTGGCTGTCAGGACTCCCTTGGGAAGGTCTCTCCAGGACGCATCCCTTGGTCCCCTTTCCCACAACCCCTCACCTTCCTTTCCGACTTTCATTTTCTCTGTGACAATTTGCTCAATGACAATGTGTCCCCAGCCCGTGGGCTATGAACGGGCAAGTGCTGAGTCTGGCTTATTCACTGTCCTAGTCCAAAGGCCGTGAAACAGTGCTCCATGGTTGTTCAGTGGGACCCTGGGATATCCCACCTGGGATTGGGGCCCTGGTTTATACCTAGGCTGGGCGGAGCCTGGCACCCTGGGCCCCGCCCCCAGCTGTTCACACACCAGGGAAAAAGCACACAGCAGGCAATACCCACCAGGTCACCAGCTGCTCAGTATAGTAACAGCTGGGGGAGGTGGGAAGGCGCAGGAATCCAGAGGAAAGAGTGGAGTGGTCAAAGGAAAAACAGGAGAAATTGTGAGAAGGAACTGTGGATGAAGTGTGAGAAGCAGAGACATCAAGGTGAGAAAAACAGCAGCAAACCGAACAGGGAGGACCAGTGTTTTCAGCCTACATACAACTGGCTGCTGGGGGTAGGAGCAGGAGGGTCTGCTCCCCAGGCTCCCAGAAACACCTGAGGGGTGGCCATGGCCTGTGCCCCCCAGCCCACTCCCAGCAGGGACTACTCAGCTGGGGCCTGAAGTTTATGACCATGCCCTTATTCATTCATTCTACTCACCTACCATGTGCCCAGCACAGAACAGCTGCTCAATTAACTGTGTTGAGTGCATTGATAAATGTTCCAGATAACTACTTAGCACAACAGAGAATCCCCTGACAGAAAGACCCTCTTGCTGCCGCCTTCTAGCCCAAGATTAGGCTCTAGCAGGCCTCTCCTCAAAGATGCCTCCCTGCACCCCTCCCCAAGGTCAGGCCAGAAGGCCGCCCACTGAACTCCCATGGACCTATACAGTCCCCGCCCCAGCACTGACCACACTGTATCTTAACTGTCCAGGTTCACGTCTGTCCCTGGCATGAGACCTTCTTTAGAGGGTGGGGACCTGGGCCTATGCTTGCTCAATGCTGTGTCATAGGGCCTGGCACAGAGAGACAATATTTGCTAAATGATACAAGGGAGTTGGCTACCAATGGTCTGCTATGCTATTTGGCTCAGGCGACAAAACCTTTGTGAGCCACCAGAACAATCCATATGACACCCAAGCTTACTGAGAGGGGTACAAGGGCTGAAGGAGTCAGTGGGAGATGCCTGAGACCACCAGCATTTATATCTACATCTTGCTGAAATCAGAGCTCCCTGGTCTAGCCCCTTACCTAGGTTCCATGGAAGGTGCTGATTTTAAATCTAGTGTATAAATGGAGTCCTAACCGGTTTAGCTCAGTGGGTAAAGGCCGGACCTGCAGATGGAAGGGTCCCAGGTTCCATTCCAGTCAAGAGCACGCATGTACCTCAGTTGCAGGCTCCTCCAGCCCTGGGCCCTGGTCAGGCTTTGCAGAAGGCAACCAATCAACGTTTTTCCCTCACATCAGTCTTTCTCTCTGTCTCTCCCTCTCTCTTCCACTCTCTCTAAAAAGCAATGGAAAAATATCCTCAGGTCAGGATTACATACAAATAAAAAATGAAAAGTAAATGGAAGCTGTGGTGATGCAGGGAAGCCCTGGCCCATGGGACTTTGTGAAAGGGCCAAGCGCACAGAGTCTGGGAAAGCTGCGCAGGCGCCTATGACAGGCTCTGAGAAGGGCCTCAGGCAAGGAAGCACTGGATGCCAGCCGGCCTGTCCTTTCCTCGTGAATTTGACCGCAGGACTGCACTTCCTTCCTTAAACCTCTGGTGCCCGCATAGGAGATGCAGTGGGGACAATGGGGAAGGTCCAGGCAACCTTCCAGACACTCTCACCCCGGGAGTCCTGACACAGAGACCCTCACGCTCCAGCTCTCAGAGGGAATCCCAGCTGAGGGTGGCCTGGTGCCAGCCCATCAGCCGCTGTACCCAACAGTACATACTTGGCAAATCCAATGAAGTCCTCGTGGTTTGTGTTGATGTAGGACTGCTCAATGTCAATGAGAAGAAGAATCTGAGGGAAAGCAGAAGCCTCTGTGAGTACACACGGACCCCGATATGACTTTCTGACTTTATAACAGTGCGGAGTATAAGCATTCAGTAGAAACCATACTTTGGATCTGGATTTTGATCTTTTTCCAGGGCTAGTGATATGTAACACGATACTCTCTCATGTTGCTGGGCAGCAAGACCTAATTCCCAGTCAGTCAAATGATCATGAGGGTCAACAATTGATACGCTACAGCAAGCATGTCAAACTCAAAGGCTAACACGGGCCAAATAAACGAGGCATGTGGCCCACAGGCCACAAGTTTGACATGCTTGCTCTACAGTGCATTCACTGTATTAGATGATTTTGCCCAACTGTAGGCTCATTTAAGTGTTCTGAACACGTTTATGATAGGTTAGGCCAAGCTATATAATGTTCAATAGGTTAGGTGAATTAAGTGCATTTGCAGCTTGCTTTATTTTCAACTCACCATGAGGTTATCAGGATGTAACCTCATTGTTACATCCTGATAAACTCATTGTAATCTGAGGAGCATCTGTAAAGAGCCCAGCATGGCAGGCAGGGGCAGCGGACAAAGCACTTCTCACAAAGGGGTAGGGTGCGGGTGCAGAACCGTGCTGCTTCTTGGGCACAAGAACAGGGGCAATCTCCCCCTCAAAATACACCTTGTGTACATCTGTAGGGGGAAGGGAACACAGGTTCTTCCAGACACCAGGGACTTAAAACTAAGTAAGTCAGAGCCAACCTAACAGAGAGAGGCAGAGCCTCTGGGGCTGACTACCTGGGCTGCAGGCTTGGCTCAGCCACTGTCAGGCTGTGTGACCCTGGGCCCCATGTTACCAAGTTGTGGAATAGGGGCACAAGAGGCCCACTTCAAAGAGTTAAACCATTCACAATATGTAAAGTCTTTAGCTAGCACCTAGTATTTCCTAAGTGCTACATTTAAACAGCAAAGATAATCTGGCCAGGTGAGGACATTAAAATAAAAGACACACACACACACACACACACACACACACACACACACAACCAGTGGGGATGTCATCAAAGATAAGGGATAGGCCCTTACACAGTACCCTGCCCCTTCCTATCACCTCACTCCAAACCCCCAAGCATAACACAGGCCAGACATTATGGGGTTGCTGGAAAATTCTGGGGTGCTCCGCTGTTGCTAGTTTTATAAAGCCTGAATCCCACTATCCCGGAGCAGTGCATCAAGTCTAGCAACGTTGACAGGAAGGCAACCAGGGGCTGTGGTGTGCATGGAAGGGACAGCAGCATCCTTGACAGCAACGACAACAAAACAAACTGGAATCTCTCAAGCTTCTGATACAGCTTCTAGGCTACAGAAGCTCTGAGGAAACAGGCACAGGGTGACTGGGGAATCCTCTGAAGGACAAATGAGCCGGTTTTCTCCATCAAGGTCAAGGGGAGAAGAACCATTCTATACAGGTGGCATCACAACCAAGCACAACACGTTGGCTTGTTTTGGTTCTGGCTTAAACAAACAGCTGCCAAGAGACCACAGCAGACAACTGAGGGCAAGTGACTGAGACAGGTGTTGGGGCCTATGGAGGAGGAATGAAGGCTCACATAGCAGGGAACGGGTGAGACTCCCACTGTGACTGCTGGGAGGACCTCTCTGCCTTTGTGTGTGCTGGGATGGTCTCCACAGGAAAACTAAACCGCAAAAAGCACACTAACGTTCTCTGGCAGGCAAATAGATTAACCACACAATCAAAAGTAACAAACTTCAGCCCTGGCAGGTGTCTCAGATGGTTGGGGTGTTATCCTGTACACCAAAGGGCTACGGGTTCGATTCCTGATCAGGGCACATACCTAGGTTGTGGGGATATGAGAAGCAACCGAATGAAGTTTCTCTTTCAAACTGATGTTTCTCTCTCCCCCCTCCCCCCACCATTCCTCTCTCTCTAAAATAAAAAATAATAATAAATTAAAAAAAAAAAAAATCCCTGGGTGAGGATAAAAAAAACAAACTTCAGGTATACCACAAACAACAGGGATGAATCCCAAATATATTACGCTGAGAGAAGGAAGTCAGAATCAAAAGGCTATGTAGTACAGGAGGCCATTCACAGAACATTCTGGAAAAAAAGGGCAAAACCATAGGAACAGGAAGCAGCCAAGTGATAGCCAGGTCCTGGGGGTCAGTGAGGGGTTGACGGCAAAAGGGCAAAGGATGAGTTTTGGAGGGGTGATAGAAACGTTTTATATTGTGATTGAGGTGGGGGTTACTGCATGCATTTGTCAAAACTCAAAATACTGTACACTCAAGATTTATTGCAAGTAAATTATACCTGAAAATTAAAACCAAAAGCCAATACCTGGTCCTTGGTTCTCCCTTCCCGTTCTCGGATGTAAGTGGTGACAATTCGCTCTGTTTCCTCTCTCAACCGGGGGTAGGAGCTGAGCTGAGGGGAAAGCAGAGTGGCAGAGTTGGCTGGGTCCTCACGGATGGGAAGCAATGTGAATCACACACAAAACACGGTGGGGAGGTGGGTGACATGAGGTGGGCCCACCGCATCCCCACTCCACTCCTGTCTCTTAGCTTCTCCAGCTGGTAGACAAGGAGACAGTGGGGGGACGGTGGGCCAGAGAGAGTGACAGGGTTCCCATGCACAAGCAGAGATGCTTTTTGAGAATGCAACTTAGAGTTGGAAAGTGGCAGAGAATGTGGGTGACAGCCATCCCCTCCCGCCCAGCACTAGGTGGGAGCCAGGACACTGATTATAATGAAAAACACCAGGGATGAGTGCCCTTGCCCAGATCGTGAGCGCATAGCGACTGTTCTAAGATGGTGGGTTGGCATCTGGGTCATCTACCTCAGAGGGATCCCCTTGTACAGAAATGTTCCTCATCATCTCATCTCGGGAACCCACTCCTCTAACACCCCCAGAGCTCCAGCCAAGCACATGAAGAGCCACCTTCTGCAATTTGGGTTAAGCTCAATTTTGAAGAAAATTGAGTCGGACAGTCAAAATCACTTGATGAAAACTCACTAAATGTCCCGTGACATAAGAACACGAAGGTCTGCACATGGCAACATTTTACTGCTTTGCTGACAGTTTGGAAACCCCCTTTCTCTCAGGTAACGGGCCCCGACTCTCCTCCCCACCGCCTGCGGAGTAAATGCTTTTGGCAACATCAAAGGCCTCCCAGCCCCTTCAGGAGCCCAAACTACAAAGGTGGCACATGTGTGTGGTGCAGCTCGCCCAATTTTGTCTGCCAATGCAAACTGAGATGTCGTTAAGTGACAACTGGCCTATGGAGGGGGGTCCATCTGAGGCAGAATCTCCCAGATGCACGGGTTAAGACTAACAACGGAGGGAGAAGATGGGGGACAGATGTGTAGGTGATAACAACAAAACCTATTACCTTCTCGGCACACTTTTTAATGACCGTGGCCAGTTCTGAGACCACGAGATCAACACACTTCAAACTCGGCTCTTTGAGTTTTACAATCTGTTTTTTCACAATGGCTTCAAAGGCCATATCAGGGGTGAAGAGCCCCGTCCTGGGTCATGCGAAGGGTGGGACCAGAAGAAAGACACCCAGGGACAGTGCAGGCCACACACCCGGGATGCAGGGGGGGGGGGGGGAGGGAGGGAGGGAGAGGGAGGGAGAGAGAGGGAAAGAGAGGGAGAGAGAGAAACGAGAGTCAGTTGGTTAGTGACATGCATGGAGTCTGTGCCCGCATTTGCCCCGAAAGCTGCTTCGGATCAAAGAGGCATCCTGGGTCCCAGGGGTGGACTTGGTCTGGATTCAATTACGGAAGTGCTAAGGGTCAGTGTCTTCGTGCAGATGGCTACGGGTGTGGTGACGCTTTGAGTTTTCATTATCTGCAGTAACGGGCTCCAGGAATGACAATCTCCAACCCACCTGGGTTTCTTTCCCCTTCCTTTTCCAACTGAAGAAGCTTAAGAAGCAAATGTGGGCTTTTCCAGACTGAGAACAGAAGGATCAAGCAGAAATCCCCTGCCTAGTAAGGCAGACCCAGAGCTCTAGGGCCACCGTGGACGTGCAAGCACAAACTGCCCATCGAGAAGCGCTTCAGCTGCTTGGCCAAAGCATGCTGCCCTGGGAGCCAGGCCCACGGGGGAACCCAGCATGTCTTGCTGGGGGGAGGCAGTGGCCCAAGCACATAGGCACTTGTGACCTGGTGGATCTGAGGACTGGCTACCGGGGGACAGCACTGCTCCTGGGGAAGGCAAGGAACTAGAGGAGGCAGTGAGGAACTGAGCCGACTTTGGGAGCGAGCACTCATTATACATTAGCGTTTGGGCCTTTCTTGGCACCCGGGGGACAGAAACATGACTGGCTCCAGGGAAGCCCAAGGGTGTCACTCAAGGAGGAGTGACAGCCAGGGAGGTTCAGGAAGCCATGCCTCCAGCAGCTGACATGGGGTCCTTCTCTGATTCTCAGAAGGCAGCAAAGCGACAGCCCAATTCCATCAGACACATGCTAGGCTTGGTATCAGGGTCCCAGGGAGCCCTGCTCACCAGTATGGCCAGCTCTGGAGGCCTGATACCTCCCTCGTCCCCCCCACCAGCTGCACCTAGGTAGACAAGCCCCTGCCCCAGCCTCGGGGAAGATGCCACATTCTTGGAAACCAAGGCAATCTGTAGGCAGTGGGAAGGCACCATGGGGCAACGACTGAAGCAGCACTGGGAGCCTGATACCAAAGCCCTGAACCCCCGTTTCCACGCAGCCAGGAGTCCCCTGCCAAGGGGCCAATACCTTACTGGTACACTGCCTAACTGTATTGATTAGCTCCTGGATAACCAGGTCGACACATTTCAGACAGGGCTCTTTCAGCTTGACGACCTGCTTTTTCACAATGGCCTCGAATGCCAGGTCCGGGGTGAAGAGCCCGGTCCTAAAACCATCCAAACCCAGGGGCAGGGGAGATAAGTCAGAGAAAAACAAAGCATGGTCAGCAATCACAGGTAGGGGCCAGGTTCCCACGAAAGAACCAAGGTCATGGCAAGTCTAGGGGTCAGATGCCTGTGTCTACTACCTGGAAACCCCAGGGCAACCTCAGGACCCCATGGTGATGTGAGACTGTATGACTGGAATGACTATTCTTGTTGGAATACAGAGGGGACCCAGGAGGCTCACAGGGAACCCAGGATGGGTTCAAACACTGGATTCCTGTAATCATGACTCAGATCTGGCTCCCCACCCCCAGGGCAAATATGCAGCGAGCCTTCCTGGATGACTACAGTAACTAGGATTCATGCCAACTGACTGGAGGGGTTTAACTAAATGTTTAAAACAAGGGCAGCAGACAGTCCTGTGACCCATGACATACTTACACAGGACTGAGCCCTCCCCCTTCAAGTGCCCTCAAGAGAGAGTTATAGCTACTGAGAACCACCCAGGAATCCTGCTAAGATCACAAACAGGGCACCCAGAGGTTTGGGGGGCAAACTGACTAGAGAATGGCACCGCAAAGGTAAAGGGAACAATGGCAAGGCTCCCTGTGGAACTTGCCTGACACCATGAATGTTCTTAATGGCGTAGCTGATCTCCCGTCTTAAGTCTTTCTCATCAAACTCCATCTGAGAACAGAGAAACCAAACACTAGCAAGGGTGTACCTGGGGCTCCTTCAGAACAGGTGTTTCTTTGGAGAACGTTGTTTCCTGTGCATCTGTATTCACATGGCAGAATATTAAATTGGTCAAAAATTTTAAAAATATTAAAACCTAGTACCAGTAAGGATGCCGTGAAACTAACACTCTTGCTCTCTTAGAGGAAACATGAATTCATATAAAACCACTTTTGAGGCCACTTGCACTACAAATTAAAAACCTCCAAAAAGATACCTAAAAATAAAAAGTATATATCTATAATGTCACCTGGTAATTTTTACAGCTCTAGAAATTTATCATGAGGAATTAATAAAGAATTAGCACCCTAGTGGATTGGCTCAGTGGATAGAGCATTGGCCTACAGACTGAGGGGTCCCGGGTTCAATTCCTGTGAAGGGCACATGCCCAGGATGCAGGCTTGGTCCCCAGTAGGGGGCATGCAGGAGGCAGCCGATCAATGATTCTCTCGCATCAGTGATGTTTCTAACTCTCTCTCCCTTTCCCTTCCTCTCTGAAATCAATAAATACATATTTAAAAAAAAAAAAAAAAAAGAATGAGCTATATTCCCAGCCAGTGTGGCTCAATGGTTGAGCGTTGACCTATGAATCAAGAGGTCACTGTTCGATTCCCGGGTTTTGGGCTCGATCCCTAGGAGGGAGCATGCAGGAGATATCTGATCAATAATTCTCTCTTGTCACTGATGTTTCTAATGCTCTCTCTTCCTCCCCTTCTGAAATCAATAAAAATACATTAAAAAAAAAAAGCCGAAACCAGTTTGGCTCAGTGGATAGAGCGTCAGTCTGTGGACTGAAAGGTCCCAGGTTCGATTCCGGTCAAGGGCATGTACCTCGGTTGCAGGCACATCCCTGTGAGGTGCAGGAGGCAGCTGGTTGATGCTTCTCTCTCATCGATGTTTCTAGCATTCTATCCCTCTCCCTTCCTTTTTTGGAAAATCAATAAAATAAAAAAAAATAAAAAAAAAAAAACTAACTACATTTACAAAACTATTCATAACACTAAAAAAAAGTGAAAAAGGTCGGGGGGCGCACAGGGGGACAGACAGACGGACGACTAAATGTCCACAAAGGGCCGAGACCGGTTTGGCTCAATGGATAGAGCGTTGGCTTGGGGACTGAAGGGTCCCGGGTTCGATTCCGGTCAAGGGCATGTACCTTGGTTGCGGGCATATCTCCAGTAGGGGGTGTGCAAGAGGCAGCTGATCGATGACTCTCTCTCATCGATGTTTCTAACTCTCTATCTCTCTCCCTTCCTCTCTGTATAAAATCAATAAAATATATTTTAAAATAATAATAATAAAAAAATAATAAATGTCCACAAAGGGAAACTGCTAAATGCATGATGTGACATACATAAAATAATAAATTGCTTTGTTATTGATGATGCACAAAATGTTTATGATTAGTTTTGAAAGATAGTCACCACATGAAAAATGCATGATATAAAGACATAAATTTTTAAAAGTATAAGTGTACACATAAATATGGATAGATATATGTGCTGTTTGTGTATTCAAGGGTGGCTTTTTTTATAGGGAATGGTTCACGGATTTGCGTGTCATCCTTGAGCAAGAGCCATGCCAATCTTCTCTGTGATGCTCCAATTTTAGAGTCTATGCTGCCAAAGTGAGCATAAAGAAAGCTTTCTACTTGCATAGAAATAATTCTTTTTTTTTTTTTTTTAATATATATTTTATTGGTTTTTCACAGAGAGGAAGAGAGAGGGATAGAGAGTAAGAAACATCGATGAGAGAGAGTCATCAACCAGCTGCCTCTTGCACACCCCCTACTGGGGATGTGCCCGCAACCAAGGTACATGCTCTTGACAGGAATTGAACCTTTCAGTCCGCAGGCCGACGCTCTATCTACTGAGCCAAACCGGTTTCGGCTAGAAATAATTCTTAAAGGACACACATCACGGTGCTAACAGGAGTTGTCTGTGGATGTTAGGATTACGGGAGTGCTTTTAACTTACTCTTTAATTGGGAAAAAAACAACAACAAAAAAAACACTTTATTGATTTTCATAAAAATAAGTGATCACAGTAAAAAGTAAAAGTTCAAGAATTAGTGCCCTAGCTGGATTGGCTCAGTGGATAGGGTCCCAGGTTCGATTCTGGTCAAGGGCACATGCCCAGGTTGCTGGCTCAATCCCTAATAGGGGGTGTGCAGAAGGTATCCAATCAATGATTCTCTTTCATCATTGATGTTTCTATCTCTTTCTTCCTTTCCCTTCCTCTCTGAAAACAATAAAAATATTAAAAAAAAAAAAAAAAGTTTAAACAAATGGCCAGTGTGATCAGAGCGTCATCTCACAAACCAAAAGGTGATGGTTTCAATTTCTGGTCAAAACCATGTTGCAAGTTCGATTCCCTGTCCGGGTGCATGTGGAAGGCAACCCATCGATGACAGATGTTTCTCTTCCTTCCCTTCCTCTCCCTAAAATCCATAAAATATTTTTTTTTAAAAGCTCAAGCAAATAGTTTTTAAAAATCTCAAATTCCAGGTCCGAGAACTATAAGAATATCCTTACAGATCTATGCAAATATACACATCAAAACACACAGGTATAATTTCATACAAATATTGTCTCTGTTTTGCACTGCACATATTGGGTCCATAACCTGCTTTTTTCTTTTTTCAAGGACATGTGAATTTCCCCTATTTTCTATGTATTTTGCAAACGAAATACATTGTATTGGCTTTTGTTAGAGGAAAAAAAAAAAAAAAAAAAGAAAAGAAATCTTTTGTACATCTCTGTTGGAAAGTTGTAAGCTGCCTGCTCAGGGAAGGAAACTCCTAAGAGACGCCTCCCGGGCCACACTCAGGCATGAAGGCCAGAGTTCAAGACTCAATGCTCTGGGAGGAGGATGGGCTCAAGGCCAAGCAGATGGGTGCCTGACCAGGACAGAGGGCCCAGCCCTTGCCGCGCTACCTTCACCAGCTCGAAGGGAAACCGCTCATGGAAGATGCGATTGATTCGGGCGCCCCCAGAGAGCTCCAGTGTGTCCACTTGGTCTCCAGAGCCCTCTATCCGCTTCTCAAAGTCCACCCCAAATTGCTGGACCATCCTATGTGGAAAAAGAAAACAAGAACAGTAAGCAGAGGTTTCAACAAAGCTCTGGTGTTATGTCCTGAGTCAAGCCATGGTTCAGTTCCCTCTTTTCGTTTTTAGGAACAAAATCTATGTGTATATGAAAACAAACAAAATTCAGGAGCTGCAGGTGGCAAGCACTGGCTACATGCCAGGCCCATTCTATATGCCTGTTCCGATCATTCACTGAACTGAAGGAGGTGCAGTTAACACTCCATTTTGCAGATGACAAGAGTGAGGTGTGGGGGTCACAACTTAGCAACCTCACCTCTGCCCTGAGGTTTGGAAAATCCAATAGGATCATAGAGTGAAATGGTAGATCCTTCACATAGTTCAGGTGGCTTCCGCCACCTCCCAGCACGTGGGTCGGCACCACTATAGGCTGAGGCCTTTGTCCCTCTGAGCCTCAGTTCCTTCATCTGGAAAGTGGGTTGATCATAGCAGCACCTTCACACAAGGTCACTGTGAGGACTCAAAAAGTTTCTAGATTTCATCAACTCCCAAGAAGTCACTAATCCTAATGCAATCCTAGTCTAGACTCCCACAAAAAAAGAAAAAAATGCTGTCAAATCACGGTAATTCACCTAAAACTTCTGAATTCAGAGAAGTCAAAATGTCACATAATGTCACATGCTAATACCACAACTGGCCCCTTAGAAGCCAGCTTAGCCTTACAAAGTGTGTAAGTGTTGCTAATTAGTGCTGTGACCATGTGAGCAGTAAAGGTCTAAGGTATTTACTAGTGCCTTGATTTTCCTTGGCATTTCTAATTGCTCCCCCCAGTCCCTTACACTGTCTGCCTTAGCCATTTCCTCATCTCTGCCTCCCAAATTCTAGGTCTACTCATACATTGACAGCATCAGAGATATTGCAGGTTCAGTTCCAGATAACTGCAATAAAGCAATAAAGCCAGTGATATGAAATGTTTTATTTCCCACGCATATATGTTACTTTTACACTATAAAGTATATTGGAACTACTAAGAGTTCCAATAACACTGTGTTTATTTTTTATTTTTTTAAATATGTTTTATTGATTTTGTAAAGAGAGGAATGGAGAGCTATAGAGAGTTAGAAACATCGATGAGAGAGAGTCATCGATCAGCTGCCTCTTGCACACCCCCTACCGGGGACATGGCCGCAACCAAGGTACATGCCCTTGACCAGAATCGAACCCGGCCAACGCTTCAGTCCCCAAGCCGACGCTCTATCCATTGAGCCAAACCGGTCTTGGCCAATAACATTGTGTTTAAAAAACACATGTACATGCCTCAATTAAAAAACACTTTTGCCCCGGCTGGGTGGCTCAGTTGGTTGGAGCGTCATCCTGTCCACCAAAAGGTGGCGGGTTCAATTCCTAGTCAGAACACATACCTAGGTTGTGGGTTCAATCCCCCGTTGGGGCATATACAGGAGGCAACTGTTTGATGTTTCCCTTTCATACCTTCGTTTAGGGGTAAGGAATACAAGGTTCAGAGAGGCACGGTCGCCAGCCAGGGAAAGCCCAGCAAAGCCAGGCTTACCCCCAGGCTGCAGCACATGCTAGACTAAATCTCCTCTTCAAGTCTACAAAGGATCAGCATTTGCTCTGTAGAAAGCTTTGTGGCCCTAGCCAGTTTGGCTCAATGTGGGGTGTGCAGAGGACAACCAATCAATGATTCTCTCTCATCACTGATGTTCCTATCTCTCTCTCCCTCTTCCTCTTTGAAGTCAATAAAAATATATTTAAAAAAAAAACAAAACAGCTCTGCAGAATGCAATTGAGCTTGACTGAGCATAAAAGCATTCTCATCCCGATTCCACCACCAGGCACTGCCCAATAGCTGAGAGGTGTGCCTGTGGGAAGAGTCTTGTGCATGCCACCATCTGCCTCATGAGCTGCCAGGGAGTTTCTGGAACTCACGCTAACCAAGTCCTTGCAGCACTTAATGTCCCTGGCAGGGAGGAAACTGAGAATACAGGGGCAGGAAAAACCCCAAGTAAGAACCTGGGATGGTGGGGACACCCACTCCCCTGCCTCTCAGCTGCACAGCTGCAGGGAGTCTCCTATAACTGGACTCAATAGTCAGGGTGAGGATTCAAAGATATCAAGCAGAAGCAGCTAGCTAACACAGGGTCTGGTCCCAACCCCCTCCAGATCTGTCCTCCCTGCAGCAGCCAGAGGGCGCCTGTGAGCACCTGAGTCAGATCATCCCCATTCTCTGCTCAAAACCAAGCATGACCCCCACCACCCCTAGAGCAAGAGCCAAAGTCCTCCCCATGTTCAGCAAGGCCCTGCATACTCTGCCCTTACCTCTTCCCACTCTCGCTCACTCTGCTCCAGCCACATGGACCTCCACATGCTGGACACAGTCCCGCCTCAAGACTTTTGCACTGGCTGGGCCCCATCCAGGGCTCTATGTGGCTCCCTCCCTCACCTCTTCAGGTGTTTGCCTGACTCCCATGGACTCAGAGAGGCATTCTTGACCACCCTAGTTTATTTTTTTCCCCCCAATATGTTTTAATTGATTTCGGAGAGGAGGGAAGAGGGAGAGATAGAAACATCAATGATGACAGGTAATCATTGATTGGCAGCCTCCTGCACGCTCCCCACTGGGGATTCGAGCCCACAACCCAGGCATGTGCCCTGACTGAGAAATGAACTGTGACCTCCTGCCAAAACTGGTTTGGCTCAGTGGATAGAGCATCAGCCTACGGACTGACGGGTCCCTGGTTCGATTCCGGTCAAGGGCATGTACCTTGGTTGTGGGCACATCCCCAGTAGGGGACGTGCAAGAGGCAGCTGATCGATGACTCTCTCTCATCGATGTTTCTAACTCTCTATCTTTCTCTCTTCCTCTCTGTAAAAAAATCAATAAAATATATTTAAAAAGAAAAAGAAAAAAAGAACTGTGATCTCCTGGTTCATAGGTCAATGCTCAACCACTGAACCATGCCAGCTGGGCCCAATCACTCTATTTTTATGGCACCCTATGCCCACACTGGTACTCACTAGCCCTTTACCCATTTTAATATTTTTGACATTTCACACACTATACATTTTATTTCCTTATTTTGTCTCATCCTTCCCCATCTCCCCTTTCTGATCACGTGGGGCAGGAATGAGTGTCTGCCCCATTCACTGAGATGACCTCAGTGCTCAGGACAGGGCCTGGCACACAGGTGGACCCTTGGGAGACGTTTGTTGAGTGAACAGAGAGAGGAGTGAGGATTGGTGCCCAGCCTAGCCCTGGAACCCTGTGGCTGGGTGGAGGCCCCACTGAGCTAGGTTGGGAGAGGACAAACGTACTGCAACAGGGCTTTGGTTTTACGTGTGGGGTCGTCGGGCCGGAAGTTCTTGTATTCCTCCACCTCCTTCTCCAGGGACAGCAACTGGCTCTGCAGCTTGCTGCGCAAGGTCGGCAGTGACTCCCGGATGTGGTTGGTCAGTTGCTGCAAAGAGAAGCCAGGAATGACAGATCAGTGCAAGCACGAGAAAGAGCCATGTACGATGGCGCCTGGGCCCGCCACACCCTCCAACCTCAAGAGAAAGCAACGAAATATCAGCTAGAGTCACACTTGTGCACTGAGCAAAGAGAGGCTGAGAAAAGCCCACGGGGCTTTGTAGGACAGATCGATTGAGTGTTTACCATGGAGTACACACAATTATATGCAAGAGCGTGTGTGCTGACCCAGAACAACCGTCCACAAGTGCTGCTCAGTGAAAAGCCCAAGAGGCCATAACAGGACAATGGACTGAATGACGGATGGATGGGTGACGCTGGGCAGATAAACAGACATGGGGAATGTACCCTATGAAAGAAAGGCACAAAATATATGCATTAAGTGCTCCCTTCTGTGAAAGACAAGGAGAAAGTAAGAACATGTTTTTATTTGTAGGAACTGAGAAAAGGAATACTCAAGAAACAAATGTGAAAGAAATGGGCAGAATGGGGCAGGTGGACAGGAAGGAGACCTTTCACCGAAGCCCCCCTTTCCCTCTACTGTTCTGCTTTTGCATCATGTGGATTTGTTCATTATTCATAAATTTTAAAAGGAGACAGCAGTGCAGATGTGTTGTTAGAAAAAAAGCCAGATGAAGTAGTGGGTAAATATCTTACTGTTTAAGGGGGGTAGGGAAGGGAGGGGAGAGAAAAAGGGGAAGGAATGGTAAAGAGAGCAGGAGGGAGGGACAGGGGCGGGGGGGTGAATAGACATATTGGCCCTTTAGGCCCCGCGTGTCTCTAGAAGGAAGGCCAGGAAATGATGACCCTGGCCACCTCCTCATGGGATGGGAGGAAATGGGACCTTCACTATATTTGGTCTATAGGACTTTTTGTTTTGTTTTGTTTACTATTATGAGGGAGGGAGGAGAATAGAGAGATAAAAGAGAGAAAGGAAGGGCAGGAGAGGGGAGAAGGGAAGGAAGGAAGAGACGTGGGGAGGCTGGTTGGGCGGAAGGGCAAAACAAAGCCATAAAATCAGCTAACACCCCAAAACTGAAAAGTGGTGTTTTGTTCCATATCTCCTGCCGTAGAAAAGAAGTTACAAGATGCCCATCAATGACAAAACCGGTTTGGCTCAATGGATAGGTCTGTGGATTGAAAGGTCCCAGGTTCGATTCCGGTCAAGGTCATGTACATTGATTGCAGGCATGTCCCCAGTAGGAGGTATGCAAGAGGCGGCTGATCAATGTTTCTCTCTCACTGATGTTTCTAACTCTCTATTTCTCTCCCTTCCTCTCTGTAAAAAAATCAATAAAATATATTTTAAAAAAAAGAAAAGAAAAAAAAGATGCCCATAAAGTAGACACAAGGCGTCAAGGAGCATCACACTCTGCGGCATGAACTGGGCCACCCCCAAAGTTCTCTGTGACCAGGGGCCCTCTTGGGAGCTACAGATTTCTGAAGGTGGACTCCGAGCTCTGCAGATCCCTCCAGTCTCAGAAAGCATCCTGAAGCACTAGGGCGGCTCCATGTAACCCTTGGGGAAGTAGAGGGGCAGGGGACCACCGCCCCAGGAAGCATCTGCCGTGCAGCCAAGCCCTCAGGAGGCCAGCTGGGCTGCTGGCTCTCAGGAGGCCCTAGCAGCTTGCAGGGTAGTTTTACTTCCCTTCCGGATCTCCCAGCCTCTGCCCAGGCAGACTCATTTCCTTTGTTGGAGGGCCCCTTCCTTTGGACACTTCCTTCCCTCTTTGCTCCCCTGAGCTGTCTCTGCCTCCCAGTCTCTTCCTGGCCCTCATTACTACCTAACACTTGACTGCGCAAGTGCAACTGTACAAAACCACTGGCACACCTGATTCAGAGTCTTCTGCAGGTGTGGGGTGCCCATGCGATCAGCCATGTGCCGGTAGGCCGGGTGAGAGAGAAAGAACTTCCTCTCGGCTGCCAGTGCCGCACGAATGTCTTTCTTGCCCTCGATGTCCTTCTGGCTTCGGTTCACCACACCAATGTAGCCTGCGGGGAGAGAGGGTTAGGGCAGGGCCACTGCCAGGCACAGAGCTAAGCAAGGTGAAGGTGAATACCTGGATTCTGTCCTATGAGTCACTGACAGACGGGGTTACAAGCTATACACATTCCTTAGAAACACGAAGAATGCAAATAGAGTGAAGTTTTGAAAAGAAACACAAGTGTTTGGAAGAAAGAAAGTCCATCCAGCTTGGTGTGAAGGGGGTGGATGGAAACAAGCTTTAATAAAGGTGAGGTCTTAAGTTGGAAGCAAGTGTGTGAGTGGACACAGGAAGAGTTCCTTTCTTGGAAACAGACAGGAAGGCAGGGGAGGGGAGACAGATAAACAGTGAGTGGGGAAGAAGGAAGGTGAGGAGTACGCGGCAGCCGGCCACCAGGCGGCATTGCTGAGCACAGCTAATGTCCCTCGAGTGTAAGATGGTGGTCAGACATGTGCAGGGCTGAGCTGCTGGAGGAGAGCACGGGGACAATGTGGTCTGCTTCCCGTTGCAGCACTGACTCTTCCTTCCTAAACCTCTGACATGGATTTTTCTTCAGCCTCTGATCCTCACAGCGAAACAGGGTTTTGTGCTCCTGACCACGCTCTGTCCTGATCTGGGGCCACCTCTCATCAATGCCTCAGCAGAGCTGGGGGAAGAGGGAAATCAAGGTCGGAATGTTTCCTCCCAATGGCTGTCCCAAATATCAAGGAGGGAAACCCCGGGAACAAAACACAAGATCGAAATGGTGCGGGCAGGGTATAAGAGCCAGAGGGGAAGAATGGAAAAGGCAGCAAAATAATTAGGGAAGAAATGGCCTTAAAGAATAAAAAATAAAAAAAATAAAAAAAAACCCTCGATGGATAGTCAGCACAGGGAAAAACCAGAAGCAACGTCAGTGTTCAACAAATGGGGAATGAGTAACAAACAGCCCACACACTCCCATATAAGGAACTCCATAGGATGTTTTGAAGCAATCTTGAAGAATATTTGCCTGTTGTGGGGAAATGTTTTGCTATTTTGCTACGTGAAATGGAAAACCAGGTTACAAAGCAGCATGGCACTGGAGGGCTGGAATTCAAAATCAGCTCCACTACCCTGGCCGGAGTGCTCAGTGGTTAGAGTGTCAGCCTGTGTTCTGAAGGGTCTCAGGTTCGAGTCCCAGTCAAGAGCACATGCCTGGGTTGCAGGTTCACTACCCACCCCCAGTGGGAGGCAACCAGTTCATGACACACATTGATGTTTCTCTTTCTTTCTCCACTCCCTTCCTCCCTCACTCTCACTTTCTCTAAAAGAAATGGAAAAAAATATCCTCAGGTAGGATTAAAAAAAAAAAAAAAAAAAAAAAAAACTGCTCCACAACTTACTAGCTGTGTGAGCTGGGGCAAGGGATTTAGACTATGCCTCAGTTTCTTCATCCATAAAGTGGGGATGAGAATAGAGCTACCATGTAGGTTGTTATCAGAATTAAGTGGGCTCCTACATATGGAGCTTAGAACAATGCCTGGTACATATCAGACACTTAATAAATGTTTGCTACTCATTTTTTGGAAATAGAAATACTTAGGACCGGCTGGTGTGGCTCAGTGGTTGAGCATCAAACCATGAACCACGAGGTCAAGAATTTGATCCAGGTCAAGGCCCATGCCTGGGTTGCAGGCTTGATCCCCAGTAGGGGGCATGCAGGAGGCAGTCAATTGATGATGCTTCTCTCTCATCCATATTTCTCTCCCCCTCTCCCTTCCACTCTCTCAAAATAATACATACACACTTATATACATACTTAGGTTACTCCTCTCAGAAGATCTGAACCTAAAGCTAAGCCTAATCAGGCTTCTGTCTAGATTTAATTACCAGTTTATAGGGAACCACCATTGGCCAAATCCCGAGTGTGGGATGTGGTCTGCCTTCTCCCACAAGTGAATGTTACAGGGGGAAAAAGGGGGGGGGGTTATGGCAGGGGTGCAGGGGGGAGCTGTTCAAGCAGAATGTTAAAATGATATTATGTCTGGGATTTGCTTTATAAACTCACAGGAAGAAAATGACAACAGGAGGCAAGAACATGCGGAAGATTCAAGATTAGTTGTATGCTGATAACCACAGAGGCTGGGTTCATTCTACTTTCAAGAATGTTTGAAACTTCTCATAACAGGAAGCATCAAAATTAGTAGAAGTTACAAATTCTTGTGAAAATTTTGGAAGAATACCACCAAGTGTTGACTAGTGGCTATCTAGGGGAATGAGGATGTGGATGATTTTAGCTGCTTCTTTCTGTATACAGTTGACTCTTGACCGATGCAGGGGTTAGGGGAGCCTACGTCCAGTGCAGTTGAAAATCCACATATTAACTATAGCCAGATCTCCACATATTCGGGTTCCCAATGGGAGTGGACCCTTGAACAAAACGGATTTGAACTGTGCAGATCCAGTATACCATACATGGGTTTTTACACTGACCCACATAGTTCAAAACTGTATTGTTTAGGAGTATTTGTTTCCTCATGTTCCCCAAATGAATGGGTGTTAAATGCATAATTAATAAATGAATGTATACAAAGAAAAAGACACATAAGGGAAAAAAGAAGTTAAAGGGTTTGCAATGTACAGAAAAGCAGTGACTTCTAGGCAGTGGGGAAATGGGTGATGGAAAACTGTATCTGGGAGCATCTGCTGAGGTTTCAGCAATGAGAACAAAAACAAACTTTGTTTTAAAAAAGCAGAGGTGCACCCGCTCTCCAGCTCCACCATACCTATTTTAAAAAAAGCAGAGGTGCACCTGCTCTCCAGCTCCTGCCCTCCCCTGGCCCTGTGGCCCTCCACGTCTTCCTCCCCTGGCCCTGTGGCCTCCCGCTGCCCCACGCCAGGGCCCCCAGCCTCCCACACAGCCACACCTCTTCTCAAGGGGAGCAGCTTGTTCTCTAGGATATCCCTGGCGTCGGTGCCCTCGTCCATCAGGTCAAGCTTGGTGATGACGCCAATGGTCCGCAGGCCTAGAAGAGCCCAGAGGTGAAGGGCACCGTTAGGAAGAAGCCCCAGGCCACCACAGGTGCAACAGCCTCCTCCCTTCCATCCCTCCCCCCATGTGCAATACAACCTGGGACAAGCCACAGTGTCACCTACCCAGACTCTAGCTTCCCTCCTGTGAAATTAACACAGCCACAGCACCAATCCCAGGTAGTTGGCCATAAGAATAAACCTTGTGCGTGGCAAATGTTCAATCAATAAGCACTGGCCACCCGGCCAGCATGGCTCAGTGGTTGAGTGTCGGCCTATAAACCAGGAGGTCACAGTTTGATTCTCAGTTGGTGCATATGCTTGGGTTGCAGACTCAACCCACATTGAGGGGCCTGTGAGAAGCAACCTATCAATGATCCTCTCTCATCATTGATATTTCTCTCTCTCTCTCTTCCTCTCCCTTCCTCTCTGAAATCAATTAAAAACAAACAAACACTGGCCACCATCAAAGAGAACATTAGTGACTGGATTGGAATCAAGGATGCTGGGCAAGCTGCAATGCTCAGGGGAACCTGAAAGTAGGATTTGGTGGTTACCTTGCGGGTCGACCTCCTTGGCCAGCTTGAGGGCATCCGAGTTGGCCAGGTCCATGTTGGCAGGGGTCACGGCTAGGATGAGGCTGCTCTCCCGGCTGATGAACTGCAGGATCATGTCCTTGATTTGGTACTCGATGTCTGGGGGTTGGTCCCCCACAGGTACCTTGGTGATGCCTGGGAGGTCTATGAGGGTCAAGTTCAATACTGGAAGAGAAACCAAAAGGAAAAGTCATGAGCTGAGGGAGGGGAAGCACACACAGCCACTTTAGCCACTCGGCTCATTTCTCCAAACACCAGGTGTCAGGCCTCAATTGGGTCACACCTTTCGATCCAGTAACTCCTCTTCTAGGATCTTATCCTACAGACACCCTGTATCTACTCTATTTCGGTGATATAGTTTTAAATGAGAACATCTGTTTTGCATACTAAAATTGCTTTAAATGGCTAAATAAATTTCAACCCAAAGATTCAGCCAATACTAAGGAAACATTAAAAACAAAATGATGATACTCTAATAAGAAGAAACACACTCCGAGATACATTCACACAAAAAGAAGCATAAATTATTTTTAAATAATGCTATAATTTGAGTAAATACACACGTGCATATATTCATAAATGCTTAAATATGCATTATCATTTGAAGAACATGAAATATATTTGTAATATTGGGGGCCAGGGTGGGTATTTACTGTATTTTCTTCTGTAATTTTTAAATATGAGCCGCCACTAGGCATAATTTGTTCAAAAATAAATTTTAAAACTCATCTCAAGGATCTCATAATGAGGAGTTAAGAGTCTGCTGGAATATTTCCCAAATGCTATCTAAGTTAGCAATCTGTGATCTGGGCCAGAGGCTGTGTATGACCATAGGCTGCTCTCTTTATGACACAGAGTGTTCACGTCAGGACTTTTACAGAGAAGTCTTTCTGGATCCTCTGGAGAAACTGAAACACTTGTCACTATGGGGCCACCATCACTTGGGAGCCAAGCGGAATCTGCCCTTTTAAAAGCGTACAAAAATGGCAATTACAAAGTAGTCACGGGGATATAAAGCACAGCATAGGAAATATAGTTGATAATATTGTCATAACTATGTATGGTCTCAGGTGGATACTAAACTTTCGGGGGGGGTATCATCTAAGTTATATAAATGTCTAACCTCTATACTGTTACTAATAAAATACTGAAGCTAATAAAACTGAATGTCAACTTTAATTAAAATTTTCTTTCAATTAAAAATAATTGAAATTACATAAAGTAAAAGGAGCATCTAGCTACCAATTGCCCCAGTCCCCACCACTCCCAAGTCTTCCTGGCAACTGTTTTTCTTAGAACTGAGATCAGTTTCTCAGTATCACCTTTCTATCAAGAGTGGGAAGCTACAGATGAAGAGGGCTGGGTGTATGTGAGAAGAACGAGAGGGGACACATTCTCTGTGACAGTCACATGCTCACGCTGCCTACCGTGCGGCGAGTAGACCCGCAGGTTGATGGGCACGGGGGAGATGCCTTTGTTGGTCCCCGTGACCCTGTCGGTCTCCGCCTCAATCTCCTGTCGGACTTCATCAAAGTCTGTAAACTTCTTGGACTTGCAGTGCAAAAATTCAGCATATTCTGCAAAGGGATGAAAGATGTTCAAAATGAGAAAGAAAACAGTCTTACAGTGGGTGGGAAGCAGACGGCCTTGTGAAACAGGTGCTTTGCAAGCAGAGAAAGTGAAGAATCAGTCACAATTTTTTTCAGGAATTCAGAGAGCAATAGATTCATCCTGTGACAAGTATTTAATGGGGGAAGGGGAGCTCCTATAGACCCAGCCCCTTTCCAGAACTCAGGGATCATCAAGGAGCAAAACTGGCAAAAATTTCATCCCCATGGAATTGATATTTTCATGAAGCATTTTGCAAAACTATATACACATAGTGACATATTATGAATTTTAAAAAAATCAACAGATGGATGTGACCACATTTATTCTTTTTGGATGGACAGAATAAAAGAGGAACTATGACATCACTCAGATCATGGGTTATATCATTTTTAAAAATATGTTTTTTAATTATTTCAGAGAAGAAGGGAGAGGGAGAAAGATAGAAATATTGAAGAGAGAGAATCGTTGATTGGCTACCTTCTGCAAGTCCCCTACTAGGGATCAAGCCCACAGCCCAGATATGTGCCCTGAGCAGGAATCAAATAGTGACCTCTTGGTTCACAGGCTGATATTCAACCACTGAGCAATCAGAAGTTGATGAAACTTCCTCTATGGTGTCATACACGACACTGAGTCCTGGGCCAGGATGCAAACCTCCCTCACCATGGGTCATAGTCAAAAGAGGTGCAAATCTGTTGTCCCATTGCGTTTCCATGCCAGCAACACTTGCCAGCTGGCACATGTCCCTGGGATCCATTTGTCTTTCCCCAAGACACCCACATGGTATGAGGAATAGAGCAGTACTGTTTGCCTCACCAAAGCTTGTCTCAATGTCCCTCCTCCCCTCCTGGCTAGTCAAGGGATCCCTAGACACGAACCCTTCAGAAGAAATGCTTTCTGGGCGGAGCCTCAAGTGGATGTACGTGGCCACTGCCTGCCTTCTGAGCCCAGGGTGTCTGAAAGCCATATTGGCACTGAGAGGGAGGGAAGGAAAATAAGTAACTAACAAGGCAGTGCTGGCCCTGTCATCAAGCTAGAGAAATCCAAATCCAGATATGGGATAAAGAATAAAAATATATTCACTGTAGAACACAGGAATTTACTAAGTTTACAAGTATTTACCAAATAATCCCTCAATTTTTCCTTATGTTTGAATTTTCATAGTAAATGTTGGGAACAGGGCTAAGAGATCACGGCTCCTGCCAAAAAGAGATGCTAAAAAGAGGGAAATAAGTCACACAACAGTCTAAAGAACTGGACCACTACAGAGATGCCAAAATGTGTTCTTCAGTCTTTCACAAAGTAAAAAACTAGAAAGCACTTCCATGTCCACCAGGAGCAGCACAGACATATCATTACTAGTAGCTACCTCAAAAGAAAGGATGGAGGCCAGTGGTGCACAGTGGTTAGAGTGTCAGCACAGGCACGGAAGGATCTCGGGTTCGATTCCCAGTCAAGGGCACGCACCTACCAGGTTAAATCTCCAGCCCCAGTTGGGGTTCATGTGGGAGGCAACCAATTGATGTCTCTTTCACATCAATGTTTCTCTCTCTTTCTCCACCCCCCCCCCATTCCCCACTTCCTCCTTCCCTTCCATTCTCTCTCTCTCTCTCTCAAAAAAAAAAAAAAAAAAAAATCAATGGGGAAAATATCCTCAGGTGAGGATTAACCAAAATGAGAGAGAGAGAAAAAGGGAGGGAAGGAGGGAGAGAAGGAGGGAGGGAGGGAGGGAGGGAGGGAGGGAGGGAGGGAGGGAGGGAGGAAGGAAGGAAGGAAGGAAGGAAGGAAGGAAGGAAGGAAGGAAGGAAGGAAGGAAGGAAAGTAGGTCTAGAATTTCTACCCACAGGTCACGAGAGAGAGAAAAAAAATGAGTTCAAGGAACTCATTTCGCCTTCCCATGAGAGTAACCTAACAAACTATGACCAACATTCAGTCCTTGTTTTGTGTTGGCCATAGTCTGCTCCTCACAAGCGCACACCTCGGCAGGTAGTCATCTCTGTAATGCCTGTACTACAGATAAGAAAACTGAGGCCCAGAGAGGTGAAGGGACTTGGCTTAAGTTCAGCAGTGGAGCTAAGATTTGGAGTTCAGATAATCTGTCTCCAGGCAGTGGCTCTCAAGTCACATGGCCGCTGTGAAGCCACCTACGGGCAATTCCTCTCTGAAGCTCTGAAGGGTCAGGGGGACACCCTGAGCTCAGATCACTGAGGACCTTGTCCAGCATGGGCACTGGCCACTCAGCATAGGGGCGATGAGGACACCAGCTGGAGGATTCAGGATCACCCACCCCACCCCCATCGGCTGACCCAGTTCCCAAGGACAGACACGCTCCAGCTCTCTACAAGGACGAGAGGAAACACTCGGCTGCTCTTCCTGCAGCAGCCACCCAAGAACGGAACAGTTCTCCAACCCCCACAGCAAACCCCATTTCTTTTCCGGCTCAGCACCTGCTAGAGGCAATCTCCCTTCAAGGATGAGTACAGGGGCACGTGGGATGAGAAAAGTGCCCTGCAAGTGTTGGTGAAATGGAACCTCTGCCCAGCCAAGCCTGGTACCTAGAAGGCCTGGCCCCACCCCCTCCTCTTCCAGGGTCTACCTGCCTGTCACTTTTTAGGGAGCTTTTCCTGACTCCATGTCATCTTGGGTCTCTTCCCCCAGCAGAACCAGGTCACTGTGGATCGTGTTTATGGGACCAGGACCTGTCAGCTGTAGTCCCCCAGGGCCCTGCATGTGCTGGCAGTCTCTAGTCTGTGTGGGTCAAGGATATGCAGGAGACTGTGCTGAAAAGCCCCCACTTCTTCCCCAGTATGTCAGTGGGCAGCAGGAAGGTTCTCTCACCAGCTGCCTTCACCCACACGCACCCTGGATCTAATCTGCAACCTAGGCACGTGTCCTGACTGGGAGTCAAACCTGCAATCTTTTGGGGTGAGGAACGCCGCTCCAACTAACTGAGCCAGCCAGCTGGGCCTCACCACCTGCCTTCTTCACTGGGCTCCTTGCCACACTGGAACCGTGTCCTAGATTCCAGAGTCATACTAACATGAAAAAGCGTTTACCAAGCCTGCTTTCTCCCCTTGGCACTGACCCTTTTAAAGCCAACCCTCAGCCTTCCTCTCCTGGGAACCCTCTATGTTTCCCACTCATCCGAGTAAAAGCCAGTCTTTACCACGACCTACAAGGCCCTACAAATTTTCCTTCCGCCCAATTTCTGACCTCAACTCACTCCTTCTCCAGTCATGCTAGCTTCCCTGTTCACAACTCCAGGCTGCTCCTACCTCAGGCTCTTCTCTCTGTCTGCGGGCACACTCAGGGGTCCCTCCCTCAGGAGGCTGCCCTGGCCCCCACCTGAGATGACAGACCTCTGCCATCTCTTTCCCCCTTCAGGGCCTTATCCTTATCATCCTCCAATCACTCCAATTCCATGTACCTTCTCTTCCTGTGTATTTTCTCTGATTTCCAGCTGGAAGGTCCACCCCACAGGGCAGGGAACTGATTCTTGTTGTGCACTGTGTCCTCGGAGCTCCTTCTGGGCACGCAGTAGGTACTCAATAATTTTATGCATGACCGAATCACTCTGCTAGAATTTGGCTTTTGATTCAGCTTCTTGGGAGTGGCCCAGTACCCCCAAAGGCACCAAGCTGGGTATATGGGAGTCTAGACAGGGGAGGGTCGGGCAGGGCCATCTGTTGTCTTCCCCTCCCTCCCTCCTTCCCAAAGCACTGCTTAACGACATGGAGCGACATAGGTCCAGTCTCGAGCCAGGCTCCGGGTCTAACGGGGAAGATGGACACTGCATAAGCATGTCACAGCAGGTCTAACGGAGGCCAACATACTAGGAACTGGCAGGGATGGGCTGCCTGACTCCAACCCCAGGCCATGTGATGGAGGCAGGCAAGGGTAGGGGTAGGCAGAGAGCCTGTGCCTGCATCATCTCACTGAAGTGACGTTTCCCCGTGTCCTGAGCATGTTCTGTACCCGGAGGAGACTACAAGGGAGGGAGGGGCCTGCCTACTGTCCAGGCTTACTCTCTGTACCTTAGTTTCCCCATGAGAAAAATATAAACAAAGAAACAGACAAGAAGGGTTATTAGCAAAGGCCTCCACAACCCTGTATGTGTTCAAATGCTGGAGATGAGTTAACTATCCATGGTCTCAATTTACGGTTGAGCTCATCACCTGCGATTCCTGAAGAGCTCCCTCTCAACTCGTTCCCAGCAGCCAAGGCTGAGCTCCTGCCCAGTCTGCCCGCCACAGTCCCCGCTGCAGAGCTTCGCCCGTCCCCAGCCCAGCTGCTGCGTTTTCAAACCTTCTCTTCCTCATGCCAGTCCCTCCGGTTCCCAGCCCCTGCCACAGCATTTCAACAGCCACACCAGCACCCCTACACCCTTAGCCAAGTGTGCTTCCCTGGGAGGAGGGTCAGCATGTGTGATCAGGCCTTGGGGCTCCACGGGACCCAGTCCAGAGCCGGAGCAGAGCAGGAATAAAGGAATAAAGTGGGCCCTTGTCCAGCAGAGGAGCTGCCAACACAGAGGAGCCAGCCACCATCGTCCACAGAGGGCTTCCCGCCTCGTCCTAACTCTGGGGTCAATGAATGCACTTGCAGTACTTTTCTAGAAAGAGGTTCTGCTCAAACTCCTCCCTTCCCCGCCCCACTCCCCTCCCACCCCCCAGCACTTGGTCCCTGCCTCCTCCAGGTCTCAGCTCTAAACACCCTACACAGGGAGACCCAACCTGACCCAACCTGGCCAGCTGCACCTGTCTGTCCCTCTGTTCTCTCCTCCACGGCACTCCTCACACTGCACACCATATGCTCACATGTCCCCTCCTAGAGCTGGAGTTTCAGGAGAGGGACTGTGAAGGACTTAATTTTGGCCATACTCTCCCTGGTGCCTGGTACAGAATAGCTGCTTAATCAAACCTTACTGAGAAGCCTATTACAAAGCATTAGGTACTATAGCCTGGGAGGA